GATAAGGCTCCAGGATGGTTTCACGATGAGATTTTTGTTGGAAAGCTGGGAGGTGGTCCGGTACGAGATTATGGGCACTTTTCATGAGTTCCATTCCACGGGGCGATTTGAGAAATCGCTTAACGCATCTTTTATTGCCCTTATTCCAAAAAAAAGGTGGTGCTTCTAATATCAAGGATTTTAGACCCATTAGTCTGATCGGGTGCATTTACAATATCATTGCAAAAGTGCTTGCCTTTAGATTGAGGGAGGTCCTGGATGGAGTTATCTCTGAGTCCCAGAATGCTTTCGTTGGGGGTAGACAAATTCTGGATTCCGCCCTTATTGCTAGCGAATGTGTGGATTCTAGACTTCGTAGTGGGACTCCTAGTGTTCTGTGCAAGCTAGATATTGAGAAAGCCTATGATCATGTTTGCTGGAATTTCTTGTTCTATCTGTTGGAGAGGATGGGTTTTGGTGAGAGATGGAGGAAGTGGATTGTTTCTTGTGTTTCCACTGTCAGGTTTTCGGTGTTGGTGAATGGCTCTCCTTCGGGGTTCTTTGGTAGTTCTCGTGGGTTGAGACAGGGGGATCCTCTCTCCCCTTTTCTTTTTATTATTGTTATGGAGGCCCTTAGCAGGCTGATGAGAAGGGCGGTGGATTTGGGTTTTCTTAGGGGTTTCAAGATTGGCCTTGAATCAGTTCAGCAGTTGGAGATCTCTCATTTACTTTTTGCGGATGACACTATTGTTTTTTGTGAGGCTGATGTATCCCAATTGAGGTATCTGAGATGTATTTTGGTTTGTTTCCAGGCTATTTCTAGTTTGAAAGTTAATGTGGGAAAGAGTGTGATTGTTCCTGTGGGGGAGGTTCAGGAGGTGGACACTCTGGCTGCTGTTCTAGGGTGTGGGACGCAACGCTTTCCCATCTCGTACTTGGGTTTGCCGCTGGGGGACTCGGCTAAGAGGGTGGGAAGTTGGAACCCGATGATTGAGCGGGTTGAGAGAAGATTAGCGGGTTGGAAAAAACAATATCTGTCAAAGGGCGGTAAAGTTACGTTAGTGAAGAGCACTTTGTCAAGCCTTCCAACGTATTTTCTTTCGCTTTTTCGTATTCCAGCCTCTATTGTTGGAAGACTAGAAATGCTCCAACGTAATTTCCTTTGGGGGGGTCGCGGAGAAGAGTTCAAGTATCATCTTGTCAAATGGGAACAGGTTTGCAGGCCTATTCGGTTGGGAGGGCTTGGAATTAGGAGATTGGCCCCTTTCAATTGTGCTCTTCTTGGTAAGTGGCTTTAGAGATTTGGTAAGGAAAGACATAGATTATGGAGAAGGGTCATCTCATGTCGCTTTGGGGAGGAGAGAGGAGGGTGGTCAGTTAGACCAGTCAGGTTTGTTAGCGGAGTGGGGGTGTGGAGGGCCATTGGTAAGGGGTAGGATGTCTTTTCCAAACATATTAGATTCAGAGTTCGGGATGGAAGAAATGTCCGGTTTTGGGAGGATCCATGGTGTGATGATAAGCCTTTGGCCCTTTTGTTTCCCAAGCTTTTCAGGATTGCTGTTGACAAACATGCTATGGTTGCTGACTACTATCGCCTTGATAGTGGAAGGTTGTCTTGGGATGTGCATTTTCGGCGAGCTTTTCAGGATTGGGAGCTGGATGATGTCACTGGGTTTTTGGCTCTCCTTTACGGACAAGAGGTGGAGGGGTCTGGGGCAGATTCCTTGATTTGGGTGCCTTCTTCTCAAGGGATGTTCCAGGTCCGGTCCTTTTTTGTGTGCCTTTCTGGTTTTCATGGTACCTCATTCCCATGGAAGACGGTGTGGAGGTCTAAGGCGCCTCTTAGGGTGGCCTTTTTTGTGTGGACTGCAGCTTGGATTAAGATTTTGACTTTGGACAATTTGAGGAAGCGAAGGCATATCATTGTTAATAGGTATTGTCTTTGCAAGATTAATGGGGAGTCGGTGGATCATCTTTTGTTGCACTGTCCTGTGGCTCATGATTGTTGGAGTTTGATGTTTGGCCTGTTTAGTATTCATTGGGTCATGCCTCGATCATCTCGGGAGTTGTTAGATATGTGGAGGGGCCAATGGGTGGGGGCTCAGGCCAGAGTTTTTTGGAGGGTGACCCCTTTTTGTATTTGGTGGAGCCTTTGGAGAGAGCGTAATGGAAGATCTTTTGAGGGAAAGGAATCCTCCATTGGGGTGTTAAAATTTTCTATCATTTGTAATTTGTTTTGTTGGGGTCAAGGGAGAGACTACTCCTCTCTTGAGGATATTGTTGATTTTATGAGCTCTTTGAGTTCATTAGCTCCGTTTTGTCTTTGTATAGTTTGGGATGCGTTCCCCTTTTGAACGCTTTTATACAATTTACTTATCATAAAAAAAAAAAAGATATTGATACAACTCCCTTCTGTAAATATCCAATGAGTAACGAAATCTGCAGATAAGATATTGATATGACTCCCTTATAAAAGTAAACCTACTTCATAGGTGTCCAACAATCCTATTAGCAACCACTAAGAATTATAACCTAATGGTATATCCTCAACTTTCCAAAGTTGAAGATAGAGAATACAAGTTCCCATAGGGTAAAATGTGTGGGCGTTTCATTTGTCAAGGAAAAAAAAAAAAATCAAATTGATAGTTAGGGAGAGAAATATTCTTGATCCATTATAAGGAATTATAGATCCATTATAAATTCTCCATTACTACCACTCTTTTTTGTTAGGTTGTAGGGAGAAATTATAAATCTTTAGAGGAGATAGTTGATTTTATGGGCTCTTTGAGAGTTTACATTTGGCCTTGTGTAGTTCTCTTGGGATGTGATCCCCTTTTGACCGCTTTCTAATACATTCTTATTTATCAAAAATTAATAATAATAATAAGTTCATACGAAACTATCTTAATATATTATTTTGTTACATTATATTGTGAAGAAGTGAGTCGCTCGCATTGAATATGAATTTGTGTAAATACACCATTTGACTAGGGAAGACAAATTCTACCGATCAGGCGGGTTTCTGCCCCGCCCCTAATGAGACAAATATGGGAGGCCCTTTTACTCTATAGTGGTGGATTTAGGATTTTAAATCAAAACCCGAGCCGGGTATGGGGTTAAGTAGAATACCGCCCCGTCTCAATTATTTAGTACCATTACATAATACCCTTAAGTCCTTGACCCTTTTTACGATTGTACCCCATACATATTACATACATATATATATATATATATATATGTATGTATGTATAAATATATATATTTATGTATGTATGTATGTATAAATATATATATATTTATGTATGTATGTATAAATATATATATTTATGTATGTATGTATGTATGTATAAAAGATATTTAACCCCAAATCACCACCACCGCTCATTGAATCTCACGATGCTCTCCTCCTTCCTCACCTCACTGCCTCACACCTCACCACCGCATTAACCACACCCACACTCCAGCATGATCTCCGATGATGAAGAGGCCCATGAGTTCTGACAAGCAAGAGACCGGCATGCTCCGATAACCAAAGGCTGGTGTTCTCTCTCTTCAGTAAATACTCTCTATTTCTCTCTCTCAGTTTCTCCATCTCTCTTTGTCTCTCCATTTCTCTCTTTCTCTATTTCTATCTCTCCCTCTCTTTTTCTTTGTCGAGATTAGAGCATTGAGAATTTGAGCAGATCTATGGTTGCATGTTCATTGAGTAGAGCAATGAGAACCATTTGTGGCCAAATGGGGCGGAGACGGAATCCCAAATATCTTACCAGGGAAGGGATACTAACGTTACCAAAAACCCATCCCGGGTTTGGGCTGGTGATGGACCATGGAGTTTATTTTATTTTATTTTTTTAATGGGGTAGGGTAGGGTTTGGTCAAACACGCCCCATTGCCATCCATACATTTGAAAGTAGGATACAAGAGAAGGAAAGCAAAAAACTCCAATAATCCAGTTATATCAAAATTTCCAAAAAAGTCATGTAAGTTCTCTCCTAGGCAAATATCCGCACCCAACTCAAATTCCAACTCCACTAATCTACAAATGAAGTTTAAGTGTCTAAAAGTGATTACAAATGAAACTCAAAGATAATTTTCCTATCTGTTTATAATTATCTATAAATAGTTAGTTTAGTCCTATGAAACCAAAAAAGTGCCACAATATTATCAATAATGACTATAAAAAGGGGGTAAAAGCATAACTAGGAAAGTCAAACTTCAACTCACTTTCCAAACAATTTATTGCTTTTCATAACTAAAAGAACAGTCTTAATTGAAAATCCAAAATCTAATTACAGTTGAAGGGGAAAATAGCTGAAGAGGTTCATAAAAATAGGTCATTGTTCCAACACCCAACACAATGTTGAGTTTTTGACTAGAAAAACCCAAGTATAACAGTGATACCATGTCACTGTGCAAGTATCACCAATATGACAAGAAGATGTCAATTCAATAAGGAATCAGACACTTATTACGTTAGCAACAGAGTTGTTCGTTCCGGCTTTAAAAACAAAGCTTCAGCTAACAGATTCAACATGATTATCCAAGGGTGATGCATTATGATTGGTTGTTGATACCAGATAGGCATGATCACATAGTATTAGTATCACATTTGTACCAAAAATTCACTTTGTTTTTCTGAAACCCCTCCAATATGCTTGACCTTTGCGAAACACAATCAATGATTGGAATAAAGGATATTCAGGGAGTACTATGTGCAACTCAATTCAAGGAAGTAACGTTTTAAGTACAGCTAGGAAAGCAGAATTCAATTCCCGAACACTCCAATTGAACAAGTTCACTATCTCTATAGATTGATATGAAAATATAATTCACCCCAATTAATAAAGACATTGACGTAGAAGCAAGTGAAGCAAAAATCCATATCCCTGTATAAAGCTCCTTCCATAACAAAACCCTATTCTCTCACTTCAACAACATACCAGTAACTCATATTTACATGAATTTCAATTCTTTTTTTCTAGTTCGACAATATGCACAGACAATTAAACCCTAAATCATACCACGAGAGTGTCGTCAGTGTAATCCCCCATGAACTCCTTCAGTTTCTCCTTCACACAATCTCGCAACCTCGCCGCTCCATCGCTGGAAAAATTAACTTTAAATGTCCGATCATCGTCTCGATCCGCACCGTCCATCTTCGATACCGATTCACAAAACCCAATCTGGCCTCCACGGATTACCGTTTAACTTATTCGAATCGCAATATAAGACTCAATAGATATAGTTCGATAATAAATATGCAAAACCCTAACTCAACCTTTATAGATAACCAACGATGAGTGAAGTTGTTGGAAGAACGATTCACCAATGGGTGAACGTGGAGAGAATTGCAAATACGGATGTGTTGAAGATTTATTTTCTCGGGAAAGTGAAAGAAAAAATGCTCAGATTGGATTGTGAATCCGGATAAATTCACATTTTAATGGAGAAGAGAAACCCCCAGAAAAACCTTCTGGGGATGGATTTGTAACTGAAAAGAACATTGTCGAACCCTACGTCTCGTATATAACCGAGCACAGGATAGTCGGTGTACCCAAGTGTAGATGGACTGTCCTTATATTGTTTGGCAATTGGAATACTCTTTATAATACTAGTAATAAATAAATAAAATAATATTGTAACGCTCAATAAAATAACGTAATACTTCAGTACTACGTAGTAATTATTTGATAGAATAAATCAGTAATTATTTGCATTTTTTTTTTTTTTTACATAGCAATGTTTAGAGATTTAGTAGTAAATTCGAACGTGGACACTTAAGGCTTAGTCATTTACCACTTAAATAATACTGTCACACTTATTTAACCGAATTATTTGAGGAAGATACATTAACATAAAATTGAGTCTGCATGTTTGTGTTTTTTTTTATCTCTTTTTATTTTTGTTAAATGAAAAAAATAGATTTTAAATACAAAGCTTAACACCTCGATAGGATAAAAAACTGTTTGGAGGGAGAGCCTATTTTGTCAGCTCCTATTTTACATTCATCCCAAAAGTGGATGGAAAGGGAAATGAAATAAAGATAAATAGTACTTTACGTTTTTTTTATGTTTGCACTACTATAAATGAAATGATAATTTTACTCTCAATTTTATAAATACGTGATTATTACTTCTTAAATGACACAACTCTCTTTTTAAATTTATTTTCCTTACCTCTAATTTTTTAAATTTTATGTCTTGTTTGACATGAAAGAAAAAGAAAAAAAAAAAAAAAGTTAAATAAATTTTTATTTTTATTTTTTGGAGGACCAAAAAAAAATTATATTAAATAATTTGTCTCTTTTGACAGGACCAAAAATAAATAAATAAAATGGTAAAGTACATCCATACCCCCTGAGGTTTGACAAAAGGATATTCAAATAAAATTTACTTATTTTTTAGACAAAGACACCCCCTAGAGATTTAAAAATGGACAAAGACACACCCCTTCACATAAAAAATTGACCAAATTACTCTTTGATCGGTTTAGGAGACTTTTTAACTCTACAATTTAATAAATTGGACCAATCTACCCTCTTGAATAATTTATGCATAAAAATAAAAATAAAAAAACTTTATATTGTTCACTTTTTTTTTTTTTTTTTTTTGTTATTTACTTTATAAATATCCCAACTTCTTAAATATGTAGACATCTAAATGATTTTTTGATTCAATACATATATTTCAAATAAATTATATTTTATTATTACTTTTTTTCTTTTTTTAAAAAAAAATTAAGATGCTTAATTCATTCATCTAAAAAAATTAAACCAATTTATTTTCTTTAAAAATGAAAAATATGGTACTAGTATAACTTTATGCATCTTAAATCATATATCAAATATTATATATTTCCCAACATAAAAGAAAATAGGTACCAGTATAACTTTATGCATGGCTTTTTTTTTTCCCTCTTTGTTTTATTATTATTTTTTTTTCCTAAATAATAATAAAAAGTAACCATTAAAAAAATTATATCTTTTGACATGAAAAAAAAAAAAAAAAAAAAAGGATTATTTCTATTAAAAAAAAAAAATTGTATAAAGGGGAGGAATTATAGCTTATGACATTATAAAATAAGGGATAATACATTAATGAATAAAGGACCTTTGTATCATTTTTTTAAAACAAAAAAATAAAGGGGTGTAATTGGATAAAAGTGGAGTGCGAATATTGGCTCTCTATTTCTATTTTAATGGGTTGGATTTGACCTTAATATATGTTTTTTTCTTTTGGCTCTCTATCTCTATTTTAATGGGTTGGATTTGACCTTAATATATGTTTTTTTATTTTTTCATTAAAATGAATTGTTTTTATTTATTTTTTCTAACAAAAAAAAGTATATAATCCATATATCTTTAAATAAGTGTGCTTTTGAAAAATCAATATAGAAAATTAGAAGTTTCTTTTTTTGAAAGTAAATTAACCTTAAATTTTAACAATTGAATATTAAATTTTGAATGATTAGTTTTGATTTCTGAGACGGAGACATGTTAACAATTAGTTTTGACTTGCTTCTTGATAGAGGAAATAGATTTTAGGAGTTTTCTTAGTAAGGCTTTGGTTGGATAGAAAGAATGCTAGGAGGGTAAAAAGTTTGTCAAGATTCTCGGAATCAATTTTCAAATAAAAAAAAAAAAAGTGTATATATGTGTATATTTGGGTTAACAAGAAGGAATATTCTTACTTATGATAAATGAAGAAAGTGTTAAAATCAGAACTCATTCAATTAATAAAAATCAATCTCCATTTAATCAAACAAGACCCAAGTGACAACTAAAATCTTGCTCTTCAAATTAAATACAGCAAAAATTTAACAAAATTCCTAAAGCAGAATACTTATTTACTCACGGAGTTTATGCTTATCGAGTCCATCCTTATCAAGGATGTGCCACGTAGTTGTACGAACCCTTTATTTGAGTTCAAACGCTTTTGGATTGAGCAACCCATTAATCCAGTGTGAGTTGAATTCATGGATTAATTAAACTCGGACGCTTGTTGAGCCGTGTGTTGGCACTAAACATGTGCCACAATTGGTGGGGACTTTTTCCCTCCAAATTTAAATATGGCATAATTAAAAAGGCAAGCAAAAAAAAATGAAACAACACATTGAGAAAGAGAAGATGTATTGGTTTGAATCATGCAAGTGTGCAATTATGGAGAAGTGTGTGAGAGAGAATGAGAAAGATATAATTAGATTAAGATTTGATCTGTGTGACCAAGGATTCTCTAAATTGAATATCTCCCCATTATTAAAAGTTTGACATATTTTTTTTAACAAAAAGATTCATGACTTACAATTTACCATAATTATTATCAAGAGGTTCAAACATCATTTACTAAACGTTGTCATTTTAAGTTTTAAGTTTTAAGTTTTTTTAGTTATTGAATAACGTGACACATTGGCATTAGGCACGCGGTAGATAACTTAGAAGAAGATATGTTCCTCTAAAGATTCAAATGGTAGGTGTATTATTTGTCACAACTGTGTTATTATGGTCTCATTGGACCGTCCAGAGCACGAAGGGCCGAGACTAAAACAAAAGTTAGACCCAACAATTGACGAGTGGGGCCCAAATAGCCCAATATCATAGGTGACGTAAGCGAGAGGCCAAATCAGGTGTTCGATCCATCACCGTCGGATCTCAGCACAACTTTTCAACAACCAGAGCAGTCTTATTGTGGGCCCCAGAGTGGCCGTCAAGGGGTAGTGGACGCGGAGAGTGGAAGAGAAACAACGCACGCCGAAGGATAGTAGGGTAGGTTCCGCGTCGGCCAATATTAGGATGCCACGTGGGAGTATCCGGAATCGGACACGTACTCATCCCACGTGTACGTCAAGACGAGTTTGATCGCAACGTTGAAGAAAAAGAAATAAAGCGGTCAGATAGGGCGGCAGAAAGCTGGAGCTGAGAGAAATGCCCTTATCAACTTTGCTGTGGGAGTGTGGGACACCGTTGATATTCTGAAATTCCTATTTTGTCCCCTCACCAATGGTAAAGTCAATAGAGAGCCATATATTACTGTAATTTTACCTATCGATGCCGTAATGTTTAGTGGCCATTCCACTACTAATTCTTTACTTTTTAGTTCTAATTATTTATGTTGAATTTTTATTAGGCTGCATTATTTAATTTTTTAAATGAGGTTTTAATTCGAGTCATTCCTAACTTTTGCAAATGAGCATCATTTGACTGAATATACAAATCAAATAGTTCCACGTGCAAAAAAAAATTTACAAACATCCTTCATCAGTTTTTTAGGTCAAGATATTTACATTCATAAAACTAATTTTATAGTTCTCAATTTTTTATTTTTTATTTGGATTTTTGAATTATGTTTTAAAAAATTAAGTCAAATAGTGACTGCATTTTCTTTTATTAAAGAAAAAAAAGGACAAAAGTCACAAAATTTGCTAAAGTTTCTTCTCATTCAACAATGATGAAAGTGTTGTGCCATAAAAAGTTTTTCATGAAAAAAATTTGACTTTTGTGTTGCTTTCTTTTTTCAGTTTATGGAAAATAAAAATGTTTTAAAAAATTAAATTTTATTTTATTGTTTTGGTCGAAATAGATCAACAGATCACGTATTGATATACATACTTATTTAAAACGAAAAATCTAATGTATATCAAAGTTTTTTTTATTAAATTATTTTTAAATGTATTTATCTCATCATGTATCATAATGTTGTCATAGTAGAAGAAGGTAATTTTGCTAGCATCTCACCGTATATAATAATCTCATGAATGGTGACGGTGGAGTAATTAACACGTCAGTGCTAATCCAGAACCACCACCACTTAATATATATATATATATATATATATATTGGTAATTTAAAAAAAGCAAGAGGGCATTTTAGTGAAATGAAAAATAGAAATGTATGATACGCGTCTCAACGAGGCCCATATTTCATCGCCATTACCGACCTCTCCCTCTCTCTCATATAATAAAACTGCTTTCGTTCCTCCCTCTACAATTCACCCCTCAATTCTCTCGCAACCAAAGCCACTCTCCCTTCCTTCTCTTCCTCTCTCTCTACAAAAACCTGAATTTTCTCTCTCTAAAATTATACATATAAATATATATAGCGATATATACAAAGTATCGTTGAAAGATGGCTCAGAGGACAGAGAAAGAGGAGACCGAGTTCAAGGTTGTACCTGAAACTATAACCCTCTGCGTCAACAACTGTGGCGTCACCGGCAATCCCGCCACCAAAAACATGTGCCAGAAGTGCTTCAACGCCACCACCACCACCACCGTCATCACCTCCTCCTCCTCCTCCGCCGTCGTTTCCGGTGGCGTGATAGCCTCTCGAGGAGGTAAAAGTCCTAGATCCAGCTCGTTGCGGTCGCCGGAGAGGTCGTCAGATGCGGCAGAGACGAGTCCGGATCTGACGGCACGGGAACGGATGGAGACGGATGATGGTGCGAAGGAGGCCACGGTGGCGACAGCGGCGGCGAAGAGGGCCGTGAATCGGTGCTCCGGATGCAGGAGGAAGGTAGGGTTGACCGGATTCCGGTGCCGGTGCGGCGACCTGTTCTGCTCGGAGCATCGGTACTCCGACCGACACGACTGCAGCTACGATTACAAGGCGGCCGGTCGCGAGGCGATCGCGAGGGAGAATCCAGTGGTGAAAGCTGCGAAGATTGTTAGGGTTTGAATCAATCAACAACACATGTATGAAATTGAAAGTTAAATTAAATTTCAAATTCAAATGATTTGGAAATGAAACATGTGAGAGAGATCGGACTAGATCTCTTGTCGTAGGGCTTTCTAGAGAGAAAGAGAGATTTGTTGAAGAATTATTTGAAGATATTATGATGAAACTCTCTCTTCTTGTTTGTTCCTGTTCGATCAATCTATTTCATGATGTATTTGAATTTTATTTTTGTTGTAATGACTTGCGATGATTGTGTTGGTATTAAGATTTTAATCTTCAAATTTTCTTTTTCTTTTTTTCTTTTTTTCTTTTTTCGTTTGGTTCGCGAGAAAGCTTAGAAAATAAAATTATTGTACTATATTATATAAAATTTGACGTGTAAAGCAAATAGTATTTTTTTTTTGTGTGTTACAAACTAGAGGGCAGGTGAATGTAAATTTTTGGATAAGTTTGGGTAGAGATGTCAGTTGACATATTGTGACTGCAAATTGAGAGGTGGGGACTTTTTTAAAAAGTCATAGGGTCCACTAAAGTGTCAAGTGGCGATGTGTTGGAGTAGCATATAAAACTCTTAACTCTATAAAGTCACCTACTTTATTTATTTCTATGTTTATTGATTTTAACAAAATTGGTACTATAACATAATGACCAAATTGATTTAATACAACTTTTTCTCACTTTATAAAGGTCAAAGGTAGAGAGTTGAGGACTCTATATTATTGAGCATTTATTCAATATCTTACCAAAAAAGAAAAAGAAAATAATGTTAATTGTCAAGTGTCAAGGTTTTACTATGTGAACTAATTTATAAAAATATAAGAGCAAATTATATTGACACATTGATCTTTCTCATTTATTTATTAAATTACACTTACCTCCTTTAAAATTTGTATTTAAATAACACATTTTTTATTTGTTAAGGTTCTGGAAGAAAAATGTTTAAGTCAATAATTGTTATAACTTTCAAATTCTAGTTATAATTTTGGAAGACATGTTTATTGTATTAAAATAATATATATATATATATATATATATATATGGACAAAAACGTAATTACAAATCCAATAAGTATGATAAGAGAGGTCGTGTAATTTGACAAGAAAGTCAGTGTATAATGTGTATATTAATAAAATCTTGAGAGAAGTTATTATAATTTATTCAAAATATAATTCTCAATTCCAATCATGATTCGCAGTATTGATAATGGTCGCGGTGTAACTGATTCCGACAAAATCAGTGTAAACTGATCGATACGGGTCACATATTGAACATGAAAAAGAGTCGCATATCGGACGATACGGCAAATCAGACTCTAATACTTATAAATGTTACCTCAATTACACTATGATCTTGATGGGGATAATACACGCGTTTTTAGTAAGTAATTTATTAGTGCATTGGTTGGGATCATTCCAGCCGTTGTTAGTGCATTGACAAGTACAGGTGCGCTGGAGAGAGATTGTATGAAACGCACATGTCAGACTTGAAAGTACCAAGGAGCATGAAAACATTCTACGGAGTATTATTGATAGCAAATAATTTAACTAGAGTTATATTTAGTTTTCACAATTTAGCATGAAATTTTTTTTGTGCCTTACCAAACAATGAGTCATTGACTTGACAAGAATCTGATTATTTGGGATATTCTTTTGCTAAATTAAATTCATTGGCAGCTTATGCCTCTTACCAACTTGGAATAAATTTTTTTTTTTATTTTTAAAAAGCCTCTTACCAACTTGGAAAATTTAATATTAGCCATTAATTATTTTTGCAAAGATAAGTGGACATTATTAAACAACCTTTGGTACTTTTTAATAATTGAGGATTATTATAAACTAGAATATAATATGGGTCTGGAACCTAAAAGTAGCAAATACGATACCTAGGGATGGGCAATAGAATATGCATGAATTTGTAAATGCAATCCACATATAGTACGAGAAACAGCAATGATAGAATAAAACTCAAATAATACAACATAGTACCACTTTAACAAAAGGATAAGAAATTTTTAAAAACCACCAAATATATATATATATATATATATCATCTTGAATTTGGCTTTTAATTAGAGAAAATAGTAGACAGCCTTTTTCTTTCCCTTTCTTTTTCCAGCAAAATGACGGAAGAATCTTGAATTTCTTTAATCCCACACTGATTAGGCACCTACAAACCATTTGGCAAGGTCAAGATTGGGACCCATGACAAGCATGGAATCAAATTCATTATTCCATAGAATTTCAAGCAGATGAATTACTGTCGATAAGCATTATATATAGACACACACCATGCCCAAGTATGGATGCAAGGCGATAGCCTCTTTTGTGTAGGGCTGTAAACGAGCCGAGTCGAACCGAGTAATGATGTGCTCAAGCTCGGCTCCGTCAGGTAATAGGCTGCTCAAGTTCGGCTCGAGCTCAACTTGAGCCTAAAAAATTTAGTTCGAGCTCGGCTATGTTTCACGAATTTCGAGCCAGGAGCTCGATAGCTCATGGGCGACGATACACAGTGACACCAACTGTAATCGAACCTAGACACATGCCGAGAGAGAATCCCAACAACTTGCAAGACTCATAACGCAACTCTCAGTGCCAAAAATCGGCACAACGATGACCGGCAAGGAATAGCTTTGGTCACTGAATAAGACAGAGACGACGAGAGAGGGAGCAAACGGCGGGAGATAGAACGGCCAGAAAAGATAGGGCCGATGGTGGCACCGGTGGAGGTTGGTATATATATATATATATAAGGAGAGAGAGAAGAGGAGAGAGGACGGTTGAGTGGTGATGGACGAAGGCGGTGAAGCCAGATAGTTAGGGATCAGATGGTCAATGATGGAGTGAGAGAACAGATTGAGGCGCAAATTCTATCAACCCTAAACATAAAAAGGTTTATATACAAAGACAAGAAAAGCTTATTTGCATAATAATCACAAACTCTATATACAATTACAATATGACCCCACCATAAATAAATATCTACATATAAATGTGCTACATAAAATTACAATTTGAACCTAACTTTTGTATATATTATAATTGGGTGTATACATATATATATATATATATATATATATATATATATATATATAATCGAGTATGTTCGTAAACGCATTATCAAGCCCAATTCGTAAACGGTTCATGAGCAAACGAGTCGTGATGTTCAGATTCGTGAACGGTTCATAAGCAAACGAGTCGTGATGTTCAGACTCTGCTCGTTTATAAATCAAGCCTCATAATTCGACTCGAACTCGATTCACTTATTTAATAAACGAGCTTGAGCCGAGTAATTAACGAGCCGAGCCCGAGCCTTTCACGAACGACTCGACTTGTTTGCGGCCCTACTTTTGTGGGATGATATACCACTACTTACTTGTCAAAATACACGCGCACACACATAGGATGGTAGAGGCAGGGAAATTGCACACATTGTCATTGAATGGGGAATCTGAGGTTCTCTTAACGAAAATTTATACACAATTTAAGAACATGAAATCATTGAATATCAAATGGAAGACTCTCCCTCTCATCAATTGGGGAACATCCGCCGAAGCACATCTATCAACAAGACAGCTGCGTCTTGGTTCTGACCAGCCTTCCAAACCTTGAAGTCATGACCAAAGTAGGAAGCATCACTCCATCGCTTCAGTGAAAGCATTGAAAAAGGCCCCTGTACAAAGCCCTGAGGATCCATATAGTACCATATTAAGCTTTCGGTATTATCATCAACAACCTGGTTTTGACAACCCTCCGTTTCGTTATCATCATCGCTCAGATCAATCACCAGAGGAGCCCTAACCCGCTTGTCCATAATTTCGTGAAAGCTTTTGTTCCCTCCTGAATTTAGAAGCTCCGTCTGACCACCGCTTTCGCTCCTTATCACAACTGGTGGCCCTTTCTGCTGTTGGGCAAAATCAGCAGGCTGACCTGCTTCAGATGAAAATGGACAAACAAAATCAAGGGTATTGAGTTTTTGTACTTCTCATGTAGATAAGAAACTGAACAATAACTAATTTAGTTGTAAAATGAGTAGGAATTTTTTCTTAATTGTCCGATCAATAGTAAACTTAAACCCTAGTACGCTTTAACTGCAGGCAAGGCTCCACCCAAAGGGTGTCTTTACGGTCTCAAGGACTTTTGAAAGTCCCAACCTCCTCCAACTGCAAGTCTCTCGGCTTCTTTGAAAATAATAGAAAAACAAGTATGGAGAAAAAAGACAGGAGGCAAAAATAAGAAAACTACAAAACCACCATAAATCATACCTGTGGTATATGCACTCTTTATTAGTGATTTATACGAAACATATCATGGTGGACTAGTGTCTTATTCTCCTAAAATTCACTATAATCTGTCACATTCGGAGTGATGAGTTGGTACAAATGGTATGGATAACCAGTGGGTATAATTTCCTACACTAGGACTGATAATTTGATAAAGATTTCAGTTATCAGGAAAAAGACACATACAACAACAACAACAACAAAAACACTCCATAAAAATGCTCACATCACTAAACAAGATGTTTTAGATATTTGTTGGAGCTAAGGTTTTTTGTTTTTGTTTTTGCCCCTCTTTTTCAGTTCCTAGTTCTAGCCATATCATAAAGAGCATCAGTGCAAAATGCTCTTTTTTTTGTCCAGCTTGTTGCCATATCAAGAATAAAATGGAAACGCAGACCTTTTGTTGTCCTGCTTGCATACCTGATATCTCAGAGTCATGAAATTTCCGTATAAATGGAACATCATTTATTCATAACAGAAATTGTAATTACCTGAAAGAAAACGTAATTAGCAAACCTAAATATTAAAGCATTGCCATTTTTGTAGTCTCGACTCTTTGACTGCACAGTGATTTCATTTATTGTTATGTAAAAAAATGTAAAGATCTATGGCCTAGAGCCAGAAATTGATATCCAACACTAAATTTGTCACCTAACAGTACACGATATTAAAATTGTTTATTTACTTTACTTTAAAATTGTTTATTTACTTTACTTTTTTACCTTTTTTGAAAAGTAAAAATATATTAGAGAGTATTCAAAAGGGGAACACATCCCGAGAGCTATACAAGGGCCGAAGCCAAAAAGGAGGTCTTAAGGACCCAAGGGACCCAAAAAATCAACAATTTCCTCTATAGATATACAATTTCTCCCCATCACCCAACTAAAAAGAGAATTAATAATAACACATTTCAAGGCCCCAATGGAAGATTCCTTCCCTTCGAAAGATCATCTATTCCACTCATTCATTTCTCCGCTTCTATAACTCAAAATGGAGAAATTAAAAGCCGCCCTAATGGCAGATATAAGAGAAAAAGAATCTGCCTGATCTAAGTTAGATACAACGGGAACTGCTAGAGAGTTGATTGAGGCGTGGAGAGGTTGCCCTGTGGGGGCTCTCAGTCAGGATGCGTGGAGGGCTACGCCGCTTTGTGTGTGGTGGTGTTTATGGCTTGAAAGGAATAGGAGATTCTTTGAAGGAAAGGCTTTGTCGATTTCGGTGCTAAAATTCTCGATTATTTCTACTCTTTTTTGTTGGGTTTCAGGAAGAGATCATTGTTCTTTGGAGGAAGTAGTTGATTTTTTAGCCTCTTTGAAGGCTTGAGGCCTTTGTTGTCTTTTGTATTTGCTTGGGATCCGCTCCCCTTCCGAGCGTTTTTTTATAAAATTTTTACTTATAAAAAAAAAGTTAGATAAAACGGGAACTAGAGTAAGCATATTTGTAATTGTGGGAGTGAGTGCAAGGGGGGATCAAGAATGTGGTAGTATTAAATCCCATAAAGCCATCACTGAATGCCATAAATCAATATATATGAATTTTCTTTTTCTAAACCAAAAAAATTATTTTATTAGAAAAACCGATGTATCTACTACTTATGTATATATTTAGTTTGTATCCTAATATTTTGAAATAATATGCCAGAAGATTATATACATGTATACTTTCATTTCTCTCTCACAGAAAACAGTCCGTGGAACAAATTGGAGGTGAGCGACTGATGTTATTTCTTTTACGGGAATCCCGTCTGACCTAGATCAGTATTTCCATGTACTATGTTGATTTCAATCAGCTGGAACTTTATTAGGTGTGGTTTCATTGGTTGAGTTTGAGTTTTCTTCTGAAGGGAAAAAAATGGATTTCTTTCTCTAAAAACTGCTGCTGCTGCATTGGGACGGCAACGGGCGGGTTTAGACAAACCCTACCCCAGCCCGTTAACAAATACCACACCCCATCTGCGTTCAAAACCCGTCCTGGGTTTTTGCACAAGTTCCCATTAATAGACGTTCCTAGTCTATCCCTCACAGTTTAATTAGTAAATCTATCTCTTCTAGCCTCTTAGCATCCATCTCAGCATTCTCATTTCAGTTACATGAATGTGTTATTCTTGTTTATTTTTAATTGCCCAACACTTTGCCCTGTATAAGATAGTTGGCCTAATGGCCGTCCTATGAAATTCCCTTTTAACATGTTAGGTATTTTTTCGCCACATAAGAAAATGTTTCACTCTTCCTCCGATCAATTTGAACTAATCGAACAAAAACAAGGAATTCTCAATTGTGCCGAAAAGGCTTTATCTTGACGCAACTAGTCTCCGCATCTATACTATATCAAATAGCCCAATGCGCTACTGTACTAGTGTTTGTCAGTTCTTTGCGAGCCAGATGTTTGTCAACCAACTACCCAATAACTATCAATTCAAAAGGGATGACTCAGAAAAAGCACAAGTATACCAATTACAAAATAAAAGAGATATCCAAGCCAGACGTTTGTCAACCTACTACCCAATAACTATCAATTCAAAAGGGACGACTCAGAAAAAGCACAAGTAAACCAATTACAAAAGAAAAAGAGATATACAAAATCATGGCAATATATAGGCATTACATTGATTAGTCATGCAACAGGAAATGGTGGTAGGGTAGAACAAGAACTAAGGAATCCAGAGCATCCAGAAGACATGCAAGATAGAAGGAATACAAGAGAAATATGTAAAGGCTTGAATGACATATATCACCCATTCACAGCTCTGGTATATAAATATACTAAAAGAGCACGTTTTAATATTACAAGGGAAACTAAACAAAATCACTGCAAATTCTATGCCTAGACATATGTGTAAATAAAGTCAAAATTCATGATCTAGGCTATCACATCTCAACTAATATGGTAAGTCACATCCCGTGATTCTAGGCTATCATACTTGGCTACCACTCCACCTCAAGTTGGTGCAAGGATATCTGAGACGCCCAACTTGGACAATACATCTTCAGACATAGACTTGCCAACGCCCTTAGTAGGAATGTTTGCAAGCAACTGAGCTAGTGACAAACGGAGTGCAAATTTTAACCATCGATGATCTTCTCTCGAATGAAGTGCCGATCAACCTCAATATGCTTACTCCAATCATGCTGAACGGTAAAGTGAGAGTGGAAGTGACACTGGAAGGCACAAGTTTGTGGTTAACGATTTCACCCGTAGCAACTCACACACTCTAAGTGTCATAGCCCTATACTCTACCTCAGCAGTACAACATCTTGTTTCTTAATGCGCCAAGTAACCAAGATGCCACCAACAGTAGTACAGTAGCCCAAAGTTGACATCCCATCTACTGGCGGATCTAGGGGTGGGCTTTGGTGGGTTCAAGCCCACCCCCAAAAAAAAAATACTATTTTTTTACAGTACCCAATTTTAGCCTAGCCCAAAAATAAAATAAAATAAAATAAATTTTACTAGTATTAGCCCACCGAAAGAAATATTCGCCCACCCCATTGATAATTCCTGGATCCGCCCTTAGCCCATCTGAAACTGATGTTGCTTAATCAGCATCTATCCAGGCCTCAACTCGCAAGTGACCATGATTGGCAAACAAAAAAAATCACATCCCAGACACCCCTTCAGGTAGCGAAGGATCCAAATAGCTACATTAAGGTGAGGGGTGCGAGGAGAGTACATGAATTGACTCACGACACTCACGGTATAAGCAATGTCAGGTCAAGTTATGGATAGATTCATAAGCATCCCAACAAGTCGCTTGTACTAACATCCAACAATAACTCCCCCTTAGAATCAACCATGCTTAATCGGACTTAGGACGAGTGCCAAACTAGCTAGAAGCAAAAAGCAAGTTAAAGAACATAAATGTCAGCCTTAGAGCAAGCTACCTCAATGCTAAGGAAGAACTGAAGGAGACCAAGATCCTTAATCTCAAATTGATAGCCAAGATAGCTCTTAACCTCAACAATTCCGATATTGTCATCAACGGTAGGAGCAACATACGCAATGAGAGCAACTACCTTACCACTTGAATGACGTAAGAACAAGGTACAATCAGTTTCACTCTAATGGAAACCAAATTGGAGCATGGCAGTGCCAAAGCGATAAGACTAAACTTGAGGAGATTGCTCGAGGCCATACAGGAAGCGACAAAGACGACATACCATGCCGAAATGAAAAGGAAAGCGAAAGCCAAGAGGGGGAACCATATACACCTCCCCCTACAAGTCAATATTGAGAAAGGAATTCTTGACATCTAACTGAAATAAAGACCAAGATACAATCGTAGCAATGGAAATTAATACGCAGATGGATGGTGTTCATCCTGCCAACAGGAGCAAAAGTCTCCTGATAATTTATGTCATGGGTTTGAGAATAACCCTTAGCAACCAACTGAGCCTTATAACAAGCAACTAACCTATTTGGACTATGCTCAACTGTAAGCACCCAACGAAAACCCAAGGGCAGGTCACATTATGCAAATATTGTCTGCTTTGCACCCTATTGACGCTCTCGGATTTCAAAATGCGCATCACATGTAGGAGGCATCCCCCTTGTAAGTGCCAACAACTTTTCCCCACCAAGAGATGTGGGATGTCACATTCCTCCTCTCGTTTCACCAATTAAAACAATATCATCAAGAAATAACATATACCATGGAATCTCAACATAAATGTGTCTTGTCATGCCTCCATTCTAAGGCAACAATTTACGAGATTAAGTCGACCCCCTGATGTAAGGCTCCAGTATTTGAAAATTCACTTGTTACCTCTACCGTCATTCCAACTATTTCACACATCAACATAAATGTCATTTCTTGTGTGAAATATATCCCTTTATGACTCCTTTCTTTCCTAAAACCTTTTATATTAGATCACTAGGAACCCTACCATATTCTCTCTATATTAGAGAAAATTATATGAACTAGTTTCAACTTCTCCCTATTTCTTTCCATTAATAACCTCAACAAGAAAATAGCCTCCATCATTGACCTCTTTGACAAGGATCCATTTTTAAACACTTCAGTTTTCAGTTGTAGTTGTTCAATCACTCTAAGTTGTTATAATTTTATTAAACAATTTGCTAGCCAAGACACACCTTCATCCCCTAAACACTTTCAAACCTAGGAATGCTATCTACTCCCAAAAGCCAACCTGATTACACCTTTCTTAATAAATTTTAACCTCGTAGTCCTTGATTCTATGAAAAAATAGGTTATTCCTAAGGTTATTATATTAATCCTAAACTTTCTAAAAGATTTTTTTTAATTCTGAAAGTAACTTTTCTATCTTTCTTTAATTTGTCCATTTTAATAAAATCATGGAATCTTCATTCTTGATGTATTTAATGATTAAAATATTTAGACTTCCTTTCCGTAGTTTAACAAGTTTATATCTATTATTATTCAGATCTTTTGCACCCAATTTAGAATAGAGAATATCATATGCTCTATATTCAACTTCTCTCACAACTTTTTAGCTTCCTTACTGGCATCTACATGGGCAATAAAAGATTGACGACGATAAGAGAAAAAATTAGATATCAGGAAAAAAAAAAAATCTACAAAGGCATACTTCAAGCAAATAAATGATTTACTGTTAATAATGCACCTGTGGTAACTGCATTTCCAGAATTTTGCACTGGCAGAGTTTGATCTGCTTCCAAATCACAAGTCGAGATTTCTGCAGCACCCTCATAAGTTGATCCCGGCAAACCATTATTGTATTGTTTCCCACTTCCTAAGTCCTCCTGCGGTATAGCTTCCGGCTCTAATTCATCAGCAATTACTTTCGGAACTTCAAGCAACAGTCTTGACTGTTCAGATGGTGTCTGCAGCAGCTGCTTTCTCTCCATATACTCTTTTAGTGTAAAAACTGAAGCAAGTCAAGGATCCAATGGTACTTTTAAGGCAAGTTTATGTCTGGATTACCCATTTTGTATGTATTTCCTGTCATTGGATGTCATTGGAAGATTAAAGGAGCATTATTTTAGCAAAGAGGTGTGGACTATGGAAATGCCTTGCCTGTTTTGAAAAATTACAGGCTTATTGAACAATTGGAAACCTAGCAAATTATTGAAATGGGGTCCCAAGGAAGAAGTTAGCCAATAACCAATAAACTAGTACTACACAATTATACATAATATACATATGCATACATACATAGAGTCCTATAGGTCACACTTGATGTTAACTGCTCAATAACTTCTCATAGAACAAAGTTTGCCTAGCCACAGTTGACAAGCTACCTAAACATTCTATCATTAACTAAGAAGCATGGATACAAACACGACACTGCAACGGACATATGTTAGAAAAATAGGACAAGGGCACAACAAGCACACAACCATAAATTTATATTCTTCATATAAACATTACGTTATGTTTTTTTTATATAAATATTCAGAACACTTTCTTATAAAGGCAAGGGTGATGGTGGTGTATGATGAGACATCTTGTCTCCATGTTGTATCTTTCTCTATGCATCATCATTATCATGCTTGCCTATATCCCACATGAAAGGGGCTGGCCACATGGATTCTCTTTTTCCATTCTTTCCTATGGCCATGTCTTCTCTTAAATTTAAGTTTTTTAAGCAGTTTTTAATTACTTCATCCCATGTAAGCTTTCCAGCCACTTTGTCGCTTACATTCTGAACAAACAACTCTTCCTCTTTTAATAGGTGCATCATTGGCTTTACGTTGAATATAACCATACCACCTAAGTCTACATTCCCTAAAATTATGCTATACCTAATGTTCCCCTCACGCATTCATTATTTATCTTATCTCTTCTAGTGGTTCCTATCATCCAATATAGCATCCTCATTTCCACTACATGAATACATGTATTTGTGTCTTTTTAAACACCAAACACTCTCACTACCTACAATATTGCTGGCCTAATAACCGTTCTAGAGAATTTTCCTATTAATTTATTTGGTATTCATTTGTCACAAAGGATACCGCTAGCATGCCTCCATTTTGTCTTTCTCTAAGCAATAAAAATAATTATTGTAGGATTTATAAGTTTCGGATAAGACTTGCTTTTACCATAGAAAAAAAATAAAATATACCATACTTGGAGATTACAATACCTTGAGGCTACTTTATATACACATCTTTCGAAAAATTACTATCATTAGAGGCAGTCATTATGTCAAGTTTGTAAAGACAACAATCATTTGAACCATTACAAAAAATAAATTCCAACGGAAGCAAAGCACGCTCCCCAGAAAGCAAAAAAAAAAAAAAAATGGTTTTGAAGTAGTTAGTCCCAAAGGTTTAGCATGAAGCCTTTTGGCACCACCAACCAAGAAAATAGTTCCATCCAGACGATATATAATGCCTACTCACCCAGATGTAAGTTTCAACTATTATTTCAAAGCAAAGCTATCATCTTCTCATTCATATCACTCTTCCATTGATAATGCCATGATCTAGCAGGCACACCAGTACTTCACCAGTCCATGTTGTGTCAAAGATTTTTGAAAGAAAGAGGAGAATTAGAGTACTAGCCAAGACTAGACTTGCTCCAAAATTAGGTTACTCAAATTACAATATTACTCCACCTGGAACATATATTATTTCTCAACTATATGTGTACAAAAAAACATATATGAACAAAACAACCTACAAAAAAAAAATAATTATAATAATAATTCATCTCCCTACTTTAGCTTATGTAAACCTTAAAAACCATCAAAAAAATAAATTTCAAGAGTTTCAAAAAAAATGTTTTAAGGCCCAACTTCTTCCAAAAATAAAAAGATGATAGAAGACAACTTGGCTCTATAAGAGTCTCAGTAAAAAAAGATTCGACATAAAATAGCTCATTTTTGTAAGCAAGTCTTACCCTTTCACCAGTAATCCTGGAATGACGTTGCAACTCGACTTGGTCTGGTGTTGTGATATCTTGTGCTTGAAATGAGACAAAACTATCAATTAAAATCATTGATAGTTTTGCTTTATATATACATAAATATGTATAACTGAAACAAATACTGTCTCAGCCCCTGGAGACGATTTTGCGATCTCTTCTTGGTCTTGGTAAAAGCATTGAACCATACTCCACTTAGAGACTTCCATAGTCACATATAAATTTCAAATTCATGCATTTCTCCCTTTGATTTGGATGACCCATAAAACAAATATAGAAACCCCCAATTTTTCTACCAATATCAAGATTTTGGTCCACAACTATGATAATTGACAACAACATAACCATCAAAATAAAATAAATCCAATTGTGGCCTTTTAAAAATTCTAATCAAGCATACAATCTAGGATTTGGTCAGCGTTTAACTGAAATCTCACCAAGGCATAATAAGTATAATAACAATTTCATAAATTCGGTAGACAAAATAAAATACAAATAAAATGAAATAGCAAATGATCCAACTAGAAAAGAATATATTGCATTTGTAAAACAAAAAACTCATGTCACCCAAATTCAAAATTTTCTGTTCACAAACTATGTTTTGCAACATCAAAAAGATCAATGCCCGGAATAAAAAAGGATGACCTTTAACAGAACAACTGTGAGGAAAATAAAAGTAGATAAGAATATTATAATATCACAAAATAATTTTCTTTTCCAATTTTTGCAGCCAATAAATATCCATGCAAACATTATCAATCAACATTTTTGCCAAAGAGCGGGATGGTCTTCAAAGATGAACAGTACTATCAAGATATAGGGAAACACTTGCAATAGTGATGCATACTAATCAGCTATCATCAAAGGATATTCTTTACGCCATCCCTTCTCATTGGCTCGATCAATGAGGTTTTGCAACAATACAATTTCTCTCACAAGCCACTGAAACCAATACAAAATAATGAAGCAGAAAAGATCAAAATGAGAAAAAGGAGAACAACTTTTTTAATTAAAAGGATAACGGAGAATTCAAAATTAAGGGTGATGAAATTGAATACAGGGGGATGAATGGATAGTGAGAGCAGTGTTCTAAACTAATGTGACAACTAATAACAGCACATAGAGGATCAATTATACTCTAGGGATAAACTAATGTGACAACTAATGAGAAAAGGGATCCATATCATTGGATGGCAACAACTTCTATGATGTATCCAAATTAGTTATAATTAGCCCAACTCTCTAACAACAACGATTTTATAAGATATATACAACGTTATAGGTGTTTTGAAATATCGGTTGTCTTCTGCCAGAATTCTTAAATGACATTTTCATAAAAACAATTGCAAAATGGGGATCTTATTTTTGAATTTTCAGTTATTAAGCAGACATCCAACAAACCATATGTTGACTGGGTTTAGAAAACCAGCAGAAACTAGTGCATACCTTTGACTGGGTTTTCCCTCTATTCATATTACTAATATTGAATGAACTGAAATTACAATATCCCTCCAACAAAAAGGGTAAAAGAAAAGGAAAAAAAAAAAAACTATATTGATTGTACATTCTCTCTTTTATTTCCAAATTAAATTTAGTGTCTATGTAGATATAAATACACAAGCAAATAAATATCCCTGTGTATCTATGTACATATGCATGCCAAGATGAATTATAAATCATGATTTTACCATCAAATGAAATCTCGTCCTTGGCCCTACAGTCTCTGAAAGGACTATTGACACTTCATCAAAATTATTAATTCAACCATTGCTATATGTTATATGTAGTAACTGATATTTTACAATGCGACTGCATCAGTCAACATGTCAGGATATACTAATATCTGTTGAAACCCTTTATTTTGTTGACCCATTGATGGATACAATAAATTGCTACATCAATATATTAACATCTAACGGGCTAGCACAGTGCAAGAGAATCAATATACTAAGCTACATCAATATATTAACATCTAATGGGCTAGCCCAGTGCACGAGGATCAATATACAAACATCTATGAATGATAATATTTTCTTACTGTAAATTGAGTAACCAATGCATTACTATAGATTCCAAAGTGTTACAAGAGCTTAAATTCCAAGTATGTCAGTATAAAACATACATTCAGGAATAATTTTCACATATAATTAAGGGTTATTTCTGAGTCTTTTGGATTATTACTCGATGGCAGCATAAAGTCTCAGACTTCTTTAACTGCAACTTCTCCATATGTTTTCTTTCTCCTCTTCACTCTCACAGTTGGCACCTTCATTTATTTTAGAAGTTTAAGAAGTTAATATCCACATTAAGATTTCTACAATAAAAATGCGTAATATCATATGCTAGAGATCTTTAGTTACATATTATGCTACGATTAAATTTCTGAAAGTAGTAAAAATGTTGTACATTCATGTGTAAGAAACAGCAATTTAATGGTGCACCACCCGAGAATGCCTGCCAACAAATACTTTTACCACTAAAATTGAAATGTTCACAATTAGTAGATTTTTTATCATGACATTCCCGGACATTTTTTGTTCAGCAATTTCTACTTTATTGATTCCTGAAGTTCATTTTGGAATGTCCACATGTAGGATTAAAAAAAATCACAAATGCATATATCTATTAGTACATTGAAATATACATTCATATATCAGTAAAAAATTCTGTTTTCTGTATTTTGACAATTTCCTCTAGTCTGAGAAACCTTGGGTGCCAAACTATAAACAACTAATAGGAGATGAAAAATAAGTGAACAAAGGCAAGATAAAAGCAATACCAATCTCAAAAATCATTTTCTTGGTGAGACAAAGAATACATACATGCTTTGTTATATCCTCATGTAAAATCCGTGCCTTCTTTTCAAACTCCACCTATTAAGGAAAGCAATCTAGTCAAAAAATCAATGGTGAGAGCAAATTTTGAAACATATTATAGAAAAAGGAACCTAAGAACTTAATCCAATAAACATCTGATACTGATATTGAACCATACGCCCATAACAGATCTGCTTTCCAGAAATGTGGTTTCCACAAATATACAAATTTTGTTTTGACTGGGTAAGTCCCAGCTCTCGATGCATATTGGAATTACTCAAATGACGGGTATAAATTGTATTTGCAACTCATTTGCATATATTTTCTAAAATGAGAAATGTCTCTAATGAAGGAGAAATTGGATATGACGTTAATCACATAATCAAGACAGGATGGGTTAAACGGACGAGTGCCTCTAATAAATTGTCTGATAGGCACATCCCATTAAGATTGAAAGGGTTGCAACTCATTTACTATGTATTTTCTAAAATGAGAAATGGCTCTAATGAAGGAGAAATTGGATATAACGTTAATCACAGAATCTAGACAGGACAGGCTAAATGGACGAGTGCCTCTAAATTTTTTTTTTTGATAAGTAACGAGTGCCTCTAATAAACTGTGCAATAGGCACATCACCTTAAGATTGAAAGGGAAGCTCTATCGAACAACTATTAGACCAGCCAAATTTTATGGCACAAAATGTTGGGCAGCTAGGAAACAACATATGCATAAAGTGAGTGTGTCAAAAATGCGAATGTTGAGATCCGTGCAGTAAGACTAGAAATGATACTGACTCTGAGAGATTAGAGGTCCTATTTGGTCTTGTGTAGCTTTTGAGAGATGCATTCCCCTTCTGAATGCTTCTTTATATACAGTCTTACTTATCAAACAAAAAAAAAAAAAAAAGATTAGAAATGATAGAATTAGAAATTATCACATTTGGGAGACGGTTGGAGTAGCACAAATTGGGGATAAAATAAGAGATAATCGGCCAAGATGGTCTAGACATGAGCGAAGAAGACGTTTAAGTGCACCAGTCACAAAGAGTGACATAGTCCACATTAAGGCTAAAATACTAGGGGAAGAGGAAGACCAAAGTTAGTGTGGAAAAAGTTAGTAAGGAAGGATATGATAGCATGTCGTTTGAAATTGAAATTGAAATATCCTAACAAGGATATGATAGCATGTCCCTGTGTGAGCTTAATGATCCCAACAAGGAACTTCGAAATTGAAATATCCCAATTAAACAAAGCATTTTACCAACTTTTGAATTCACAATATATATATTAACTTAAATGTGTTACACACACAAATACAAATAGATACTCTGGTATGTGTTTTCGTTTTCTTCATTTTCCCCAAAGGTTCATCATTCAGGAGTTCCATTGTATCATCCATGCGTATAATTTTACTTCAACAGACATTACAATGCATCACTTATCACGCGTACCAGCATTCAGACCACTGCCAATACCTAGAACCATGAACACATAAGCAAGACTCAAACGTCATGTTTTAAGCCACTCAAAAGAGTATTGAAGCTTACGGTTGTGTTGTTTATTATTTATTCCTCGTGAGAGAGGACTGCATTATTCTACCCACTATGTCACCTTACCTTTAGACAAGCCTCTAGTTTTTACAATTTTTTTTTTTTTTTTTTTGATAAGCAAGATTTCATTATAGGCGCCCAAAAGGGGGAGCGCTCCCAAAGACAACAGACGTAGATCACGAAGACAAGCCACTAGTTTCTGTGAAAGCACGGCTACTTAGTAACAACGTGCAGAGTTTAACGATCTCACCAAAGATGAGCAACATGCAGAAAGTCTTTCTTTCTACATTAATAAACTGCTTTCAGTTATCTCACTCATCACTCAATAGTATCTTTCTTTAATCATGAAAAATGTAAGTTACAGTAATTGTAGAATGGAATTTCTCTTAGAGAAACAATAACTTTTAGGATAACATAGTTACAGAGGTCATATTAATAAGTAATAGATTAAACTAATACATAAGAGAACTTACAACAGTTGGCCTCTTGAGCAAACCAGATCTTACTCTCTGACATAAATCCTCGCATTCTTCCTGTAAACAATATGACAAAGCTAAGATCCTAGCAGAATGCATGCACAATTACTCAACTCACAAATATACAAATTTCCGTTTGCACACACCAAAAATGCATGTACTAATGGAATGCAAGTCTTTTGCCCACACCAAAATGCATGCCAGATTGCCATCCTATACATGAACTAATGCTTAAAGCAAAGCATTTGATGATCTTAAGAAAGTCTGTAACCTTCATTTCAAATAACGGGCTGATTGAAGAGCTTGATATCACTAAGATGCGAAAACAAATAATTAAGGACCACCTGAATAATTGAAACCCATTCAATTAAACAATCAAAACATACAAATTGATTAATCAGAGAAGGAAGTTCAAAGCCTGAGGTTCAAAAAGTATTCAAACAACTTTTGATCAAGGCAACTACTATTGTTTTTTCAATGTTTAAGAGATGAACATACAAGTTCAGTATATGTCAATATGTTAGTCAAGTAATCACACAAGAAATATAAAACAAAAAGTATGAGAAATAGGGAACAACAATATGCAATATCTGTCCTTTTCCTTTTTCCCAATATTGGATGATTTATTGATGCCTAATGAAAATTTCCTTCAATAAAAGAAGCTCAGATATCCCATCTGCATAGAAAATTAAGTCAAAATTACCCTTGTATAAAATCCTTTCTGCCAAGAATTCCACCAAATCAACAACCCTCCAAGTCCATAATAAAAACTAATGAACAAAATCTTTAGCGGTAATTTCGTTTTCTTTTGTATCATTGGATAACATATCTTTCCCAGGCCTGAGAACACCTCAACATTGCTTTTCTCATCATTTTTAAGAATGACAATTTTAAGAATTACATGGATAGATGGAGGGGCTTCTGGCCTCATTCTTGAAGCACATCTGCCCAGAAAATGTTTTCCAATTTACAAGGTTAGAATTTAAGAGTGAATAGAGAACTAGCTCAATGTCTACACTCATTAATTAAAATTGACTCAAGTTGAACTCAGAATAGTTCTAATTGATCGGCTTCAGGTTGGTGACAGAGCAACATAAGTCCATTCAATCGAGTTTAAATGTACAGGAACAGTTCCATAAGCTAATTACCTCAGTGAAGTTATCATCTGACAGCTTGCAAATGTTAATGTCCTTCACTAAATTAGAGACTTGAAGCAGAATCTCTGATCCAATATCACCAATTCCAGAGGCATTCCTTACACCTATAGAAAAATAAATGATACCACAATATGAAAACTATCAAACCTAGAAAAGATAGAACCAATGAAACACATATCAAGAGAAAATAGTGCCAAATGGTAGGGGATGCATAAGAAAATAATTGGTAGATGTGGCAAAAACAATGCCTCAGATATCAACAGAATAATTATGCTACTAAAATGTGTTTCATTAGCATGATTTGAAAGAAAATGTGACTCTTGATTTGAGTCCCTTTTGCACTCGGTAAGAACAATTTTACTTCTCAAAAAATTTTATGATTTCCCTATATTCAGCAGTAACCAATTTTTCATGGCTGTGGCCCCAGAAATACCACTAACACAGAGACGAGATTTATTCAAAGCAACTCCTCATTCTTAAACAGAGGAAACACAAATAAATGTTTGTTGATGATACGAGTGTTGAACATGGCATAAATATTCAGAGATGGGCTTGTTTGTTTGTGTGTGTGTGTGTGTGTGGTTATGCAGAAGAAATATGGACAGTAGCCTTTCACACGCAAGTTTAGTAACAGTTGTGAGTCAGTCAAAATCGAAAGGCCTTAAATCTTGTGACCTTGAGCCATTCATTGGGAATAAAAAAATTAGTTGATGTATTAAGAGAACATTAATGCACACAAAATTAAGCACACTAAAGATGAATCGGTTGACAGGATTGTCTTAAATCTTGTCAAAACTAGTGATATCACAGGATATATCTAGAATCTTGAAGATCACAAGATAGATCACAATGTAGAACTCATTATTTTAATTCTTGCACAAGATGAGAAAACTGAAATGAGATCGCATAGTTCTAAAATTTTGCAGTATCTTGTGGTAGAAAATGATGAACATCACTCAGAAGCACAAGATGTCAAAAAAAATATCAGAATAATGGTTCGCTAATCCCTCCCAAATATCCCAAATATGATTGTCCATGCCCAACAACAATGATGATCTTGTTGACCATTATATTGACGGCAATCCAATAGAGAAGATGGATGGCAAGGTCCTCTACTTCCTGCTCTTGACACTATTACTAAATAGATGTTTCAGGGTTTGTGTGGAGTTTCTAAGTGCTGAGAGGTTCATTTTGCTCGGAAAAGCTAACAGATTGATGGAATGGAGTGTGTATGTAAGCATAGGGGTTTCAGAAGGAGATCAACTGAAATTAGGGTTTAGGGTAATACCTAGATTTTATGGTGGAAATTGTGAGCAGTAGGCAAGGTGGATGCACTAGAGATGAGAGGGGAAGAGCCTTATGCTTCTGTAGATCGCTCAGGAAAAATTGAACAGGCAGGACTTTAAAGGAGTGAAGCTGCCAAACCGCAAACTGGAATGTGTGCTTTTGATTCATTACTCTTTTGGGTCTTTGGGGAATTTACCTTTTCTTTTAATTATCTTTTAATTATCTTGTCCAGAGTCGAGATCTTACCCCAAGCAGCAATCCACACAAAAAAGGCCACCCTAAGAGGAGCATTCGATTGCCAAACCGTTTTCCACGGGAAAGTGGTAACGTGAAACCCGAAAAGGCAGAAAAAGGACCGGACCTAAAAAGTCTCCTGCAAAGAAAGAACCCAAGTCAAGGAATCCGAACCAGTGCCATCCTTCCTGAACTCTTAATCTCATATACTTAGAGAACTCATCCCAACCCTTCCCAATGGATTTCCACCCCACCACGCCGACAACAGATCTGACTGGCCTAGCTGACAATCCCCCGCTCCTCCCCAAACTGACATGAAACGACCTTTCTCCACATTCTATGTCTTTCACTGCTGAATCTCCATAACCACTTGCCTAGGAGTGCCCTGTTGAAAGGGACCAATCTCCTAATCCTTAGACCTCCCAACTTAAAGGGCTTGCAAACCTACTCCCACCAGACAAGATGAAATTTAAACTCCTCCCCCCGACCACCCCAGAGGAAGTTCCATTCCATTGAAGCATCTCAAGTCTTCCAACAATAGAGGAGGGGATCTGGAAAAGCGAAAGAAAATAAGTTGAAAGGCTGGATAAAGTACTCTTCACCAAAGTAACTTTTCCTCCCTTCGAACGATATTGATTTTTCCACCCAGCCAACCTTCTCTCGAATCGCTCAATCACGAAGTCTCAACTTCCCACCCTCCTTGACAAGTCACCCAAAGGCAAGCCCAAGTAAGAAATAGGTAAAGAGCTCGTTCCACACCCTAAAACAGCTACAAGATAATTCAGCTACTGAACCTCCCCCACAAGGACAAGCACACTCTTTCCCACGTTAACTTTCAACCCAGAAATAGCCTGAAAACAAACCAGGACACATCTCAAATATCTTAATTGAGAAACCTCTGCCTCACAAAAAACCAAAGTGTCATCCGCGAAAAGCAAGTGAGAGATCTCCAACTGATGAGATGCATCTGGACCAATCTTGAAGCCCCTTATGAGCCCCAAGGCCACAGCCCTTCTCATTAACCTACTAAGAGCCTCCATAACAATAACGAACAGGAAAGGCAAGAAAGGGTCCCCTTGCCTCAAACCGCGAGAACTGTCAAAAAAACCCGGATGGAGACCCATTCACCAACACCGAAAATCTGACAGACGAAACACATGTTTCAATCCATCTCCTCCCATCTCTCTCCAAAACCCATCCTCTCCAACAGATAAAACAAAAAATTCCAGCAAACATGATCATAGGCTTTCTCGATATCCAGTTTACATAGAACTCTAGGAACCCCACTACTACGCCTATAATCCACACTTTCACTGGCAATAAGAGCGGAATCCAGGATCTGCCTAGCCCCAGTGAACGCATTCTGAGACTCTGAAATGACACCGTCTAGAACCTCCCTCAATCTTAACGCAAGGACTTTAGCAATAAGCTTATACATACACCCAATCAGACTAATAGGTCTAAAGTCCTTTACGTCAGAAGCATCGCCCTTCTTAGGAATAAGAGTAATAAAAGAAGTATTCAGCGACTTTTCGAACCTCCCATTCGAATGGAACTCATGAAAAGTGCTCATAACCTTCTAGGAGTGTAACTCATGAACCATGGATTACCCCATAATTGAGGTAATCAATAGTTGACTCTTGTATTACCCTATATTTGAGGTAATCAATACTAGACTCTAGCATAATAAAAGTAATCATACATGTAATTTGACAATAATTGATGCAATTTACTATAACTATGCAATTGACCAACCCCCAAATTATGCTCCAAGTGGACCCCATATCATCTAGCATTGTGCTAAATTAAAGCTTGAGCCTTAGAACCCCTGTTTCCCACGCCTTTTAAACTTTAAAGGCTGTTGCCACTGTTCTCTACCATTAAGCCCAGCCTTCCTCACCATATGTCCATTTTCTAGATCCAACACAACCTTTCCATTTATCAAATCCGACCTTTTTTTCCCCATTTTTCTGATTATTGAGTCTGCCCTCATCCTCCACAAACAAATCTTTGCTCCAAATCATCATTAATCTAATGGCAAAGGATTATAAAGCCATTGACGTTCTCCATCATGATGTCAGCCCTTGGTAAAGGTATGTAAATTTCCAAATTCTCTGTTATATTTGCACAATCCGACCACAACAATCACTAAACCAATCAAATATATTTTTGGTCCATAAGTCAAAAGGTCGGCATCAGAATCAATCCAACCTTCGAAAATGGTTAGGATCAATGAGAGAAAAAAAGAGAAGCTGAAAAAGAAAATAAAAAGGAAGCCATTTAGAAGAACCATCCAAATTAAAAGAGTGATTTAGATTCAACCTATCACCAAAATTCTCCCCAAGTCTTCTTTGGACAACAAATTATTGATGAAAGTTCGGTGCAACAAACCACAAAAGCCATGGACCATATGTGGGCATAAGGCCCTTTATGGTTGGTCCAGACAATCTATAAGACAAATCCAAGTAAGCATCTTATATGGATGTGCCGCAGGTCCCCAAAGACAGGCACAAGTAACAGGATGCATATCTCGAGAAAGGGGGCAAAAAGAGCACCTAAAGCTTAATATGGCCCCCCACTTCTCCAAGGCAATGATAAATCGTAGGAACCACCTCTTTACAGATAAGCTTCGTTACCGGCATTTAAACTTACAAGAACTTAATCTGTATAGAAAGTCTCAACAACGTGGCCCCAAGGTTGTGCGACGAAAGTCAATAATTCAAAGACTCTCAAGAACTTCCTCCCTGAGGGTAAGTCTCGAGCGAGACCACAAGACCCTCAATTATGAATGTGTCTTCGGGATGACCATAAGCACTTGAGAACCTATTCTGTATGAACAAGACTCATGAGAACTTCCTCTTTATGGGCAAGTCACAACTCTCATGGAACACCACAAAACCCTTTGAGAACTCTCATATATATAAAATAAATAAATAAAAAATCCAAGAGTTAGACAAATATATATGTAATAATCTCCTCTCCATAAATAAGTATTGAAGAAGACAAAGAGAAACCAAAAGCATCATCTACTGTCAAACATATTATTCAAGTTGGAAGCAACTCACGGGAATCTAAACAGTCCAAAAGGATGGTTAGGGTTCATGGACCATCAGGAAGAGGACCATACGAAGAGTGACAGTCCTGTTAAACCCCAATCTGATATGAAGAAAAGCAAGAGAGTTGTAGTTCCTTACCTTTATCCTCAATAAAATAAGATCAGTGTCCTCGACTAACCCTTCCCCTTTGAAGCTTCTGTTAAAGTCCTGTCCCATTTAATGTTGTGATTATTTCAGCCACATTGTGTTTCATCACAACAAATGCGCAGCCATCCTCATAATTACTTGCCCAGTCCTACAGGAGAGACCCTAAAGGTCGTCTCATCAAGATGACGAAATTATGTTCACATCATGACCCACCCATTCATAATTGTGTAACCTTTATGATGCACACTAAGGCATTTAGTACAAGCTTAATAATTAACCTACCAAAAAAAAGAGACTTAAGGGTCCTCGAATTTCCCTTCCATTCATTCTCGTGATAATCTCTCAAACGTCCACCTAAACATCAAGCAACCGGGGTGTGACGACCTTGTGGGCGGGTGCAAGAGGCACTGGCAAGCTACCACACTGGCGAACTAAAGGTGCACAATCCCACATCGTCTGGGTGTGAAAAGGGAAAGTGATATATAGGATTTGTACACTCTAATTGGTATGAGACCTTTTGGAGTTAAACCCAAGAACAAAACCGTGTTGACTTGGGCCAAAAGCAAACAATATCATACCATGTGGTGGAGTGGGTCGTTACAAATGGTATCACAACTGGACCCAGCCGAAAGTATGGCAACGGGGACATTGAGCCCCTAAGGGGGGGTGACCATGACGACCTTGTGAGCGGGCGTGCTGTGGGCGAGTGCAAGAGACATTGGCAGGCTACCACACTAGGCGAGCTACAAGTGCACAATCCCACATCGCCTGGGTGTGGAAAAGGGAAATGTTATATATGTAGGATTTGTACACTCCAATTGGTATGAGGTCATTTGGGGTTAATCCCAAAAACAAAACCGTGTGAGCTCAAGCCTAAAACGGACAATATCATGCCATATGGTGGAGTGAGTCGTTACACGGGGTGTAGCATAATTGCTCTCTCCCTAGAATATCACCTAATCTTCCTACGAGCTTTCATTATCCTTTGAAGTTTCTTTCTGGACCCACCAGACACTAAAGTTGTTTCCTTCAACAATAAAATCAACAAAAATATTCCAACTCAAGAATACTCGAGCAACATGGGTTTCTTAACCAATCATTGACCCCTCATTTCTTTTTCATTTCATCACCCTTCGATTCCTACCACAATAGCATTGGTTATTAGCACATAATATTTTTATGCTGATTTCCAGAAGGAAAAAAAATATACATATTTTTATGCCAAAGTATTACCGATATAATTATGCACTTTCCGAAAAAACAAAAATATTTCTCAAAACGTTGTTATTCAACTACCAAGAAACCCAATTGATCAGTCCACCTTCACATTCATTTTGCTAATCATCTCTCAAAATAAAACTTACAACGTGCTCTTTAAAAGTCATAAGACCTGGTTTAGCAAATGTATTAAAGGAAAAATCATAAAACACAATTTAAAAGAGATGGCAAACAATAGTCTATTGGGGCATCAAGTGAACCAAACACTGCAACTAACTCGAGCTCTACCCCCCAAGAAAGTTCATTCAAGCTTGTGTAAGTAGATAATGGGACAAGCTCAACCACTAATAATGTAATTGGTGAGCCAAGTCTGAGCAAGCCAAGCTCAGCTGGAATTGTGAATAGAACATCTATGAAGTTAGTATGAGCTTAAGTTAAAGGTATATGACAAGAGGACACTCCTCAGCTCAGACAAGAGAGCAGTAAAGAGAGAGAAGAGTAACAACAAGGACTTGAAGAGAGCATAACTAAACTAAAGAAAACAAAGAGGTCTAAGAAGCCATTAATAATAATACGAGATAGAAAGCATCATTGCACAAAGTTATATATATATATATATATATAGAGAGAGAGAGAGAGAGAGCAAGCACAATGGTTCTGCAAGTCCTCTCTACTCCCTATCTTCTTCCCTCTTTTGATTTCTCTTTCTACCCATATCTCTCTCTCCCTCTCTCTGTCTCTCTCTATGTACATGTATATGCACACTCTTAATACAAACAGAACTATATCTCAAAACTTGAGGATTAGAGTTTTTGCAAATTTGATTGGAGGTCACACATTGATTTTTGCCAATTAAAGTTGCGATTTAGGGACTCACCCATCACATAATGCATATTTATCAGAAGCATCGCTAATGAAATTAATTGTCAATTATCAGACAAATTTATTTCATTTATATAATTTTTCTTTTAAATTGCCATTCCTTGTAGTGAATCCTATATGCAAAGAAAAATATTACTCCAAAAATTGTACAAAACTTTATCTAACAGCATCTAAAAATTACTGGCAATTAATAGTTTCTGTGAGATCATGTGTAGATCAATCTCATACTTAAACAATAAAAAGTTTATAACCCACACCCAATTGGCTTGACTAATAGGACATATGTCCAAACTGTGAAACTCAGATAGTATTCTACAAGAAAGAAGTAGAATCCCTAACAGAACCAATATGAATGCATACATATGACAGCAAAAATTACCTGAAACTTGAACAAGCTGGTGCGAGTTTTTCTGGAAGTAGTCATTTGGGTCGGATTTGATCCTTACAAAGCTTCCCACTATTTTATCTTCAAAGATTTCTGGATTTTTGAGAAGCTCCTGAACTAAACTCCTTTTCAGGTAGACAAGCCGAATGTTATCAAATAAAATAGCTGCAAAACAGCTTTTTGGGGTTTCAATAACTTTTTTCTTCTGAGGAGGAGCTTTTTTGTCTAAACTGGAGACTTTTTGTTGTTTATAAACACTTTCCTCCCCTTCTTCAGAACTGTACAATTCATCCTCTGTTTCATTTTGGTTTTCAGTGAAGTGAGCTTCCAGAAGATCATTGATTTTAAATCGACCAACTGATTTCCTTCCAAAAAGATAATGAAGCCTCTCATCACACACAATTCTCTTTTTTTTTGCCGGGTGAACAAGCTTATTTTCTTTTACATAATCGTTGATGATGGCACTCACATCATCTTGTGACAACTGCTTGCTGGTATCTTTACCAACTGATTCTAGAAATTCAATGAGAGGTCTAGATCCCCACCCTACAAACTCAAATTTCTTTGACCTAACCTTTCTCTTCATCTTCATAGGAAAGGACTGCTCTTTAGAGTCTTCCATCCAAAAAAATGGCACATCTTCGACTCTCTCATCCATGTCTTTAATATAATATACTAACCCCAAGCTAGTAGAGCACCCTCCCCTTCAAAATATGGTAGATACCCCACTTAACTCCAAAACAAAATGATGAAAGAAAAGAACCTACTCAAGATGCACCATGAAAATATTTAGATTCATCTCCATAGCCAGACGTAACCAACTGATTCATTCATACCCTCCCAAGAGCACTACAAATAACAAATATACAATACCGACCTCATTAAAATGATAAATGATGGATGCAAAATGAGTACTCTAAAAGAGGATAGAAAATCGCTTACTACAAGTTCGCTAAATTCCATTTGCCGCAAGCATATAATCCTTTTCAAAATTCTGGATGAACAGCTGTGAGGGAATGCCAAAAGAATACCTACATTAAACCAAGCATCCAATTTGGTTACCAGGTCTAGTAATTAAAACAAGCAAAAAAGCTATAGATGATGAGAAGGTAATTGAGGTCAGAATTCAAATTTGAACCCTCCCCCCATTAAAACTTATTTTTAAATATATACATATGTGGTAATATAATGTTAAAAGTATAGATTAGATAGGAATAGAAAAGGTAGGAAATGAATGAATAACAAATTGTTCGATAAAGTTTCGCGAGACGAAACAATGCCAAAAGAATGGAAGAAAAACATTATATTACCAATTCACAAAAATAAAGGAGATACACAAATTGAGGCAATCATCAAAAAATAAATTAATGAGTTGTTTTAAACTATGAGAAAGGCTAAGTAAACAAAGATTAAGAAAATAATCCACAATGTCCAATAATTGATTATATAGGACCTGAAAAAGTAGGAAACGAATGAACAACAAATTTGTTAAATAAATTTTAAGAGAAGAAACAATGCGAAATGAATGGAAGAAAAGCATTATAATACCAATTCCCAAAGATAAAGGAGATTCACAAATTGTGGCAATCGTCAAAAATTAAATTAACGAGTTGTTTTAAAATATGGGAAAGAGTAATTGAAAAAGGATTAAGAAAAGAATCCACAATGTCCATTAACCAATTCAGATTTATGCCAAGAAGATCCTCCATAGAGGTCATTTACCTGATTATATAATTAGTAGATGAGTGTATAAACAAACAAATATATATATACACACACCTGGTTTTCGTCACAAAACAAAACCAAAAAAAAAAAAAAAAGTACCTAAAAGTCAGGATTGATGCAAATCAAAGCACTTTCCAATTATCCATCATTTTATTCGAGACAGGCCCACTTACTAGAATTGCTAATGCTTCAAAATCAAATCATTGCCATAAAACACTCAATATAATAGTTCCAGTAAAACGAAAACAAAAACAGAAAAACAATATAAGAAACAGGAAAAACAACGTGTCTCTGTCATTTACCCAGTCCCCTGATCTAGGTCAATGGACACAGTCTCAACCTGAAAGGTCCAAACAAATTCTTCTGTCAGCAACTAGTGTGCGGCATGAGCCACATTCTGCACACACTTCAACTCTGAAACTGAGCAGTGAGAAACTTCCTTTCATTCCTACAGTGAAGGAGAATGTATGCATCTCTTTGTAAGGGTAAAGCAAAGCAAGCCATCCCCATTGTGTATTTAAAAAAACCTAACATATTTTCCATTCCTACCATATTTTCCATTTAGTTAATTCATCCCAACTTCTTACGACCTTCATATTTTTGTTAGTTTGATTCCAGAGATTGATCATCCAACGTTAGGATTGATCAGATGCCACCCTAAAACACCTGCGTTGCAAAAACTTTTTTATTGCAAGCAATTGTAGTCTTCTCTATATCCTTTTATAATTATCAAAAGTAATAATCTCAACTAGAAGAAGAAAAAGAAGGTTTAGTTTTATTGATATTTACCAATAGAAAATAACATAGTAGTAAGATCATGGAGGACCCTTAATGCTTAAAAGCATCCCAAAAAAATTCAGTCAAAAAACCACGTAAATAAATAGACATTGATAGAAAATGAAAGAAAAAAAAGATGTGGAATCTATATGACAAAGGCAGGAGAATAAGTATAAATAAATCCTTTCTCAGGTGATAAAGTCAGACGGAGGTTTTACCATAGACTTGGATTTTCGTCTTCTGTATGATCAGACACCTTCTTCAGCCACTTGACTATCAAAACAAATAAATAAAGAATAATCAGGGAGTGGGAAATAGCATATGCTATTTATAAAACAGCAGCAGCATAACTTGGGTGATAAATCATGCAAATGGGTAAAGGGAATATAGAGCAGCCCATTGCCCCAAAAAAAGAAAAATAAACAATAAAAATTGGTACCCAATATATATACACACACGAACAAATAAAACAATAATAAAGAAGAAAAAAAATTGTTACCCAATATATATACACACACAAATAAAACAATAAAAAAGAAAAAAAAAATGTAGAGCCTTCTGGAAATGTTAACAATTTTAGGTTTTTCTTGAAACTACATATATAGACTTTCTAAAATGAAATTTTATATGGCTATCGATTTGCCTAACGACTCCATTCATGACCTAGCTTATTATTTTAGTTTCACATGAAGTTAGAAACAGTGCATAAAAGGAAAATTATTGAATAGGAACTCCACAAAATCACAAGCAGTTCATTTTTGTCATATATGTTATTTCGTTTGCCATCATTCAAACAACACGAGTTAAGAAAGGAAAGAACATAAAAGCAAAAAAAAAATAAATAAAATAAATATAAAATTAAAGGAAATGTGCTGCGGAATTCAGTTCAGAGAAAAAATAGATTAAGCAGTTGTATTAAGCAAGTAATCAGTACCTTCGGTTCAAATGTTTCGAATTGTTACCAGCTACAATAGATGAAAAATGTCGCTCTCACACACACATAAATATTATATATACAAACACATGTATGTATGTATGTATATAAAGAGGGGAAAAAGAAGGCGGTGTACTGGTTAAGTGAAAAGACACCACAGAAGAAGAAGACGTTATAAGCTAGGTTTCCGAACTCCAAAGTGTACTGAAAACGGTCAGGAATCTCTCTTCGTATTACGCACCATATCAGGGAAGTTAGAGAGAGAGACAGACAGACAGACAGATGTGGAGACTGGAGAGAGACAGCTGAGGAGAGAGAGGATAATTACTGCTACCTGTTGATTTGGTGAATAATAAATAAAAAAAAAAAGAGAAATGATATATGCACTCCTTGTTTGGCCAATTGCACTCCTTCTCTTGTCTTTTTCTAACAAAATTACAAACATACCTCTAATACTTCACTGTTCTAATTACTACTGTGTGTATAAATTAGAGACATTTATGTCAGTTCATTTTAAAAGTTGAGTGGCATTTGACTAAAAGATGAGTGTGAATATAGGCTCCCATAAAAAAATTGGCAAAATGCAAACTGCATTTACAAATAACTCCTTAAATTCAAAAGATTTCCTATTCATGACTTTAAAATTTTGAATTGAAAAAATGATTTTTGAATAAAAAAATTTCCAAAATTAACTCTTATTCAGACCTTGAAAATTAATCTAATTGACTAATATTAATATCCACAAAAAAGTGCAAGTTGGTAATAATATAGGGTCAAGGAAAGAAAATACCCTAAAGTATGATTACAAATCATACCATACCTCTCACATGAAAAAAAAAAAAAAAAAAAGACAAACAAACTTCTAAAGTTTAAATTTGGTACAAATAGGTTCATCTCACAAATTTAAACCTTAAGTTGATAAAATTAACCTTATAGAACTATTTTATAAAATATATAAAAAATAATAATTTTGTAAAATGACCGAAAAGGACACTATTAGAGATGTCCCTCTCATGCAAAAAATACCCCTAAATTTTCAATCTGATGCAAATAGGTCCCTTTAAAAAATTTAAATTATAAATTGACTAAATTACTCTTACCAACCCATTTTATAAAATATATAAAAAATAATAAATTTATAAAATGACGAAAAATGACACTATTGGAAGCCGCCGGCAATGGACAAGTGAAGATAAAAATAAAAAATAAAATACATAAATAAAGTTCAAACTATAGAAAACAAATTTTTTTCCAAACTTTGAAAACCAGTGCACATTAATATTGGGATTTTTTTATTTATTTTTAACAATGTTGGTACAAAAAAATAATAATAATGAAGAAAAAAATTTAGTAGAAAAGAGTAAACTGGAATCTCAAAAAATTCAAATCCTTGTTCTACAAATTCTCAAAGTTTAAAATATATATATATATATATATATATATATATATATATATATATATATTTAAGGTAATAAACACATAACATCCCTATACTATGAGATTAGTAGCATATATCCCCTTGGGCATTTTTTGAAGAGTAAAACAGCAAAACCGATATTACAATACTAATTTATGTCAGATAGGGTATTTTTGCACAAGATGAATAGATTATGAGTGTTTTTTGCACACTTTTTTAAATAGGGATAAAAATATTACGCGGAATATATTTTATGGATATTTTCTACACTTATTCAAATAATATAACATTAACATGTCATTTAGTTGCACATTATTTCATTTTTTTAAGTACAAAATAAGCTATATTATTAAAATGACAATTGAGGGTATTTTTTCAAATGTGAGAAAGTTAAAGGATTTTTTTTTATATTTATTACGTGGGAGCCTCCATTGGCAACTTGAATGAGGTTACAACGAGAGACGCAATTTTTACACAATTTCTCTTTACAGAATACAAAGAAAAGACTAGCCTTTAAAATTCCATTTCACATATAACCTTTCCAATAATATAACATTAACATGTCATTTAGTAGCACATTGTTTCATTTTTTTAAGTACAAAATAAGCTATATTTATTAAAATGATAGTTAGAGGGTATTTTTTCAAATGTGAGAAAGTTAAAGGATTTTTTTTTTATTTATTACGTGGGAGCCTCCATTGGCAACTTGAGTGAGGTTACATTGAGAGACAGAATTCTTACACTATTTCTCTTTCTAGAATACAAAGAAAAGACTAGCCTTTAAAATTCCATTTCACATATAACCCTAAAAAGGTTATAATCGACTATTTATATGAAACCAAGTTTAGAGTGTATTTAGAACTCCCATTCAAACATGAGTGTGCTGTTAGTCCCGACATTTTTCACACTAGTTCTACACTTACTGATTTGAATCTCCCTATGAGTGAGGGAACAACTTCGCCCAATCATCTCATGGCTCAAAAGTTCCCATCAATCAATTTATTAATACTATTATATAAATATGACTAGATTCCAATTTGAGAAAGGCTGTTAATTTGCCTAATTAGCTGATCAGGATCACCGCCAGTTATATAGTGCAATCATTTTTACCATTTAAAATAAGTGGCTTAGAATGTGTCACATCAATTTAAAAAATTGGGTAATTAATTTTTTATCACCCTTTTAAATATTGTAGTTCATATATATATAAACTTTAAATACTATTTTTAAAATAAGTTATGCACGGCTGTCTCCCTTTTCTCTCTAAAAGCTACGAAAGAAATAATATCAATGGCAGTTTGACACGGAAAAAAAGAAGTAAAAAAGAGTGGTGAGGCGAAGAAGAAAAAGTGAAGAATGGCGGTTTAAAGCAAAGAAGAAGAAGTAAAGATCGAAGGTCTGAGGCAAAAAAGAAAAAGGAAAGAAGGAAAGTATGAGGTAGAGAAGAAGGGAAGAAGGAAGGTCTAAGGGTTATGGTTTGAATTTCGAATAAACGAAGATGAAGAAGAAGGGAAGGGAAAACGAAGAAGAAGGGAAGAAGGTTCGAGGCTAGGTTGGAAAAGTTGGGATGCACCTTAGGGAAATGTCGGGATGCACCAAAACGGAGGTGAGGCGAAGAAAAAGAAACGAAGAATAGCGGTTTGGGGCGAATAAGAAGAAGAAGGAAATAGTACAATTTTAAATGGTACACCGGCAATTAAAATGTTGAGATGCACCTCAGGAAAATGTTGGAATGCACTTTAGGAAAATGTTGGAATTCACCTTATAAATAAGTTGGGATATTTGTACGAAAATGTTGAGATGTACCTTAGGAAAAAGCTATGATGCACCACTTTACAAATATGTTGGAATACATGTTACGAAAAAGTTGAGAAATTGTTGTGATGCAGCAAATGAGGATAATTTGGGATACAATTATAATTTTCAGATTTTATTTTAAAGGAAATTCTCTTATTAAGAATGGCAGAAACAAATAAATCATACATCTTGCTTCAATTTGGATAATTTGGGATACAAGAAATAAAGAAATCGTACATCTTGCTTCGATTTGGAGACGTCTGATTTGACCATCAATTTGGAGATAAAATCGCTTATTCTATTTCAAAATAAAGCCTGCTTCCTGGTTCTATTTGGAAAGAAATTAAAATCTATTTGAAAGAAATCAAATTCTAAACTGGGTTGATTGATATTTTGGGAGAAAAGAAGGGTGGCTAAGTGGCGGGATTTCAATTTTATTTCAAATGGGTTGATGAAATGAAGAAGAGAGGGAACAAGAAATAAGGGAAGAAAGAAGAGTATATTTGAACAGTGTATATATATATATATATACACATACACATACACAAAAATTCTGTATAAAAGCAAGTATAATTTTTTACCACCATGGTAAGTACTGTTTATTCACAAAAAAATTACCCTACCCTAATTGGCAAATTGGCAAATGATAAATAATATGTCATCATTTCTTAAACCAATTATCCTTAATTTTATACCTTGATTATTCTTATTTAATCACATAATCAAAATATCAATAGCTTGATTTTATCGTGATTAAACTAATTAACGAAAATTAAATGTCCGCGTAAATGTACTACTGAGAACGTGTTCAGAAGTCAATGATTCAATACCTACCCGTTTATGAATTCTTATGTCTACTCAATAAATCAAAGTAAATACCAAACCAATGCAAGGGTCCATAATTCTCTCATACTTCAGAGTGGCTATTGCAATTTATCAAGTCATCGTGATCTATTTTAATTCTTTGCAAGTAGATAATCTATCTTATATTACCGAATTAAGATATAAATAATAATATAATTTGCACCTAATTTATTTTACCAATACACGAAGGCCAATCAGATACATAAATCAACTTATATAATCACGTAACACTTCAACTCATCTCATGAATTCATCAATATCCATAATTTACAGTATATATATAAATACATTTAAAACAAGATTCTATTAACATCAAATGTCAATTACAATCCATCTGCTATGCAGGGCATTCCCAAAAAAAAGAACCAACAGTTCAACCTCCATCACCACCCAATCTCGCTGCCCCGACTTAATTTTCAACCAACTCCACTAGGGCCCACCACACTACCCAGTAGAAACAGCAAAGACATATTTTTATATTTCAGCTACCCTGGTTTTGTTACGATTTCATCAATCGAGTGCATTAAGCTGCACCAAAGCAAAGCATATACACAAACCCTGATCCTCTGAGGAAACTAGACTTGGATTCTAATGGAATCTCAAAGCATGAATCTGGAATCTATAATTAACACACATGATAAACTTTTTTCCCTTTGGGGTACCCAGGGTCTTAGGTGAAGTAGAATTTGGGCTACAGATTTTGCATGATAACCTCTCTTTTCAAAATTTTTTTTTTTTTTGGATAAATTACTTGAAATAATAGAAAATAAAAATAAAAATAAATCTTCATTGTTTCCCTCTTAAGAAGTGCAACAATGTTAGGGGGGGAAAAATGCAAGAGTGTTAGATATATAAGGAAACTCACAAACATATCCTAGTGCTAATTTATAGGAAATTATATCCCGTGTACAAAAGCTAATTTTCAAGGAACATCTAAGATGATAGGGAGAAGAAGCAAACCAGTTCAAACATATGCACCATATGAGATGGCAATTTAAGCAGATAATGGAATTTAAGCAGACAACATTGATTTAATCCACATTTTCTACAATCTCCACCATTAAGTTAAGTCGGGTGGCTTTCAGAAACTACGAAGGGAAACAAAGGAGATGTGCATATTGATTTAACCGCATCTAGGCCCCATCAGGCTGGATAAAAGGATTGGCAATTTCATCTGTGCCATCAGTTGGTGACACCAGCATTACTGCCGTTCCTCTACAAACCTGCAGTAGAAGAACACATTACTAAAAGATGCAAGTAAAAGATCTTCAAGATATCAGACTTTTTGCTAGCACATTTATGATCTATCTCACCATATTATTACGGTGAAAAAAGGTGGTTCAAAAACATTTCATTTCCAATTGATAATTTTGACTTAGGTTTAGGCAAGATCATGATTCTTAAAAGAAAATATTTAACAGACTCAAGGCATTAATTTCTAATACAACCTTCTATCCATCAGCTATCAGCTGAAGGTTATGAAAAACCCAACAAAGTATTATATGCCAACTAATTGTTTACTATTACCAACAGGCTTGTGGCCTAACGGTACAAGGCTCCTACTTCCCAAAGGAAGGTCAGGGGTTCGAACCTCCGTGGAGGCAGTGTGTGTGAGTTCCAACTGGGAAAAAAAAAAAAATTTGTTTACTATTCATAACAAAATAGTTATACTGTGTGTGTGCTTGTGAGAGAGAGACCCTGCAATGGCGGAAGTCTCGTGCATTGGGTTTGTCCCTTAATGGTTTTCCAAATATCTAGTCAAGATGATTTAGCACACCAAATGAAAATTGTTACGTTAGTTTAAAGCACCGTTGGTCCATACAAGTTTTTTACTTGGGATGTGCAAATATACTACATGTGTGTATATATATATTGCAAGAGGAACATACTATCAAGCCAAGGCTCCTTGTCTGGTCAGTAGTCTTCAGAGGATCATCAGCATCTGCCAGCTCAAGGACAATAATTGAATTCAATTTTCAAGCACTCCATCAGAAATGAATTAATTTATGCAAAAACAAGCATGAAAAATTATGAACAAGACAAAAATGATAATGTTGAGATTAGTTCCTTTTGGGGATGATATGCGTCGTTTTCACAAAAGCAAGGCATGTGCCTCTGAAGCGAAAAACTTAAGAAGGATCTGGACCCAAAACTGTGCATCAGAGATTCAGAGCTTCTTTTATGTGTTGTAATGAAACCCAAAGGTGCAAGTTTCACAAAATTATCAAAACCATGGTGAGTTTCAAAGCATGAGACACATATTTTATATGCATGTAACATAAAGGCACTTCTATATACTCACCACCCACCAACTAGATCCAACAAAGGGCACGATACATGACTAGTCTTCAAGTCTATCATCCTCATACTCAAATAAGGAATTAACTCCCTACATCATTGTCTACAAAGACTGAAAGACATGCACGTATGCAAGGCCAACATGGAAAATTTGACAACTTTGTATGATTTTTTCTAGAAGGAAAAAGAATAAGAGAAAAAATTGATTATCAAAAGAATGTAAATTGTGCAAAACTGAGTACTGGTGACATTTCTCCATATCTTCCAGTGAACATGGGATATTAACTACCCAAAGGTCTTTAATAACCAAAAAACAATTAACAAATTAGAGTTTAAAAACATGCATACAAAATGGCACAGACAGAGACATTTGCAGGTAAAAAGTGTGAGGCGAAGTGAGTACCCCTTAGGAACTCTATAGCTTCATCTAAGACAAGGTTCAGCAACTGATCATATCCTTTCAAAGTCCCTGTTACTGAAACACAAAAGACAACCAAGTTTTAAATAGTATTTCATTTCAATCCACAACCAAGATGTGTAATCCAACATCATGAGTGCAATGCTAAAAGCTAAATAATGATAAAACAGGAAATAATTCATTATTGGCTTACTAAAAAGGTTATTTAGTTGGAAAAATATCACTTTCTGCGTTATGTCCTATGCAGATTTAAACCGAAAATAAGTGATAGCACAAAGCATAAGCCAACACATAATCATGTGTGCTCAGCTGACCTCATTCTTGGGATTTTAAACAGCCCAGATATTTCTTACCATGCCATGTTATGCAGTCCATAAAAAGCATATCCAAAAGTAGATATTTAGTTTAACAGATCACTAGCCCAACAAATTCGAAAAACCCAGTGGTCAAAGAAGACCATTCCTTAGGTGCAGTTCAAAGTTCAAACAACACCTCAAAATTCAATACATTGCATCCAGTGAAATTGGCTAGAAGAGTTCATGCACCATGTATTTCAATACCAAAAGTTACTGTCAGGCACCAAACCATTTCAATAGCAAAGGAACCTGTCAGGGTTAATGGTTAAGTAAATTATTATTCAACCACTCTCCCGAACTTCCCAAAATGACTATATGTTACGCCTTTAAAATAAAATTTTAGAAATAGTAAGGATTTGGCCACAAGCATATCAGCATCTTCTTAACGAAGTAGTAACATACATTTAGACAAAATTGACATAAATACTCCGCAAGGCTGTGAACAAATCGAATTAAATACAGATCTAATCAGATTTAAAATCAAGTTCATAGATACAAAAAAATGAATTTGAACTAAATACGATGCATCTTAAACAATCGCACGATCATCCTCAGTTGAATGGTATTATGAATCAAATAATAAAGAACAATTTGAATAAAAAAGATAATACACATTACAAACTTTAATGCTCATTTATTCATTATTCTGATATTTTATTTCAAATTTTCGATAGGTAGACTGAGTTCGAGATAGAACAGGTCTTAGTCCGAGAATGATCCGTTGACAACGAAAATATTTCAATGGAAATGATTGTTCAAAGAACGCTGATTGGTATGAAAAATATCAACCTATCAAGAATGAGAACATTGATACAAGTCCGAGAACAACAATTTTTAAAAATAATAGCCAATCTGCAGGTCCAACACCCTCAAGTAACGGAGACTTACATTAGGTACAGTCCATTAAATCATAGTTCAGATAAGCCATTTCAGTAGGCAATACCATTTTGATGGTTTATAAAGAATACAATATCATCTCCAAAATTGACTAATACAATAACAGTATTATTTTGATCATTAACAAACATAAGGCTGTCTAAGAAATTCCTCTTAACCCATACACCATCACCAATATTAATATTGCCAAACCTAGTACTAAGAGACAATTTTAGCCCGACTTGAGCTTATAATCTAAGATAGGCGGCAAATAGACCAAACAGTTCATGAACAACTTGCACTTGCTTTGTTAATAAGATATGAGCTCATTTGTATAATAAACAAGCCAAGCTTAAGCTTTAGTTTTAGGCTTATTGAATAAACAATTCATGCTTGAACAGCCCAAGCTCAGCTCACTCAAGCATGTAGTGTAATGGTAAGTATATAACTTGAGTGATATAGCCACTTGTCATCAGATGTTTGGTTAGATAAGCTTAAATGCTAAAATCAAATGTAGTTTAACTCAACTATCCAAAACACTCCTGCCTATATCAGAGTCTTAGTGAAGAAAAACTGAACAAATCCAAGGGATGAATAGATATATCACAGAGACAGAGACAGAGACAGAGAGAGGGTGGAGAGAGAAATGGGAATTCGATGAAGAGAAGTGACTAAGAAAGGCAGATCACAAACCAATAGAATTTTTCATATGAGAGATAATGAGAAGAGAAAGGAAAACCTGGAACTCACCTAGGAAGAGGGGTAGTAGTTCTGTCTCGAGCCATAAAACCACTTAGATCTGGTCCATCTTGAAGTTAAAAGAATTGGGTTGGATTTTTTAAAATATTTATTTAAATAGGTTCATTTTGGGTTGCCCTACCTCAATCTATTTATAAATGAATCAACTTCATCTTGACCTGCCTAAAACGAGCCATGAAAATTATATCTATTAACATATATTACTTTTTTATTATTATGTCCCCATTAACTATATATTTTGCCTTTATGCATTAACTTTAACTAATATTAGGATTTGATGTCATTACTATGATGTGATTATATTATAATAATACATTTATAATTATTGTAATTATGTAGTAATTTTTATTTTTAAAATTTAAAACTTTTAATAAGATAATTTTATCTTAGATGTATGGTTGGATTTGGACCATTCAGTAAATAGGATCAAGCTTGGGTCAAGGAGAATATGTGATAAAATATGCTAACAACCCAATCCAATACTAAGTTAACCAAACCCACTGAGCTTGAATCGAAGACTGTATCGGCAAGATTAATAATTAAAAATAAAAAGAAAAGAAACGGAGTTATACAAGACTTTTATTTGTGGAGTAGATCCATCATCATTGTTTTTATGGTAATTCAATGATTTACAGGAATGCCTGCTACAAACTTTGTAGAGATGAATGAGCATTCCAAGTTTTTATCTGAAGGCCATTCTAAAGGAATGAACTTTCAACTTTCTTTTGATGTACCTAAAAGCGAAAAAGGAATGAAGTACTATAGTGGATATTCCATCCTATTCTTGTAATCAAACGTACCCTAGACCTTGAACGACTTAAATTTGGAACTCTTATTTGTATCAGTGAATATATATGACATTACCTTATGTATATGGGTACTTGACCTGTGTATACAGAAACGTACACATATTGCATTGCATCTGAACAAAATTACTTTACAAACACACAAATAGCATATTTCCATAAGCACTAAAATAACAAATTGGAACTTTTTATCAGAAGTGTGATAACAACATATGGAATAGCACTAACCTTGTCTTCCACCAGTAAGCTTGACTTGTACACCCTTGTCAACAAATTTTGCCAAATCCAATACTGTTTCTTTCCTGCCTGACTGAAACATGGGCACATGGCACACCATGTAAAAAAACACAAAAATTAAAATAAACCAGAGGTATTTTTTGCCTACATTTCAAAGTTTTTTGTTTGTTATTTGCAATTGGTTTGTCAGTGGAGATTGCGGTAAGCTGTCAACGGTACCTATGGTGCAATTGTGCATTTGAAGTGGAGGTTGCGGTGATGGTTTGCAGTTGAATGTGGTTGTGTGGTTTTAGGCTTTTTAGCAATAGCACCAGTAGAAGTAATGGTATGGTTGGCGGCAATGGTGATTGTGAACTTGGCCATACTGTTATACAATACACACTTTAAGTCGAAAAACAAGCCTCCATCAGATGCAGTATTTAAAAATTTCTCTGTTTATTGTTTTGTGATCTATCGTTAATTGACTTTTTTGTCATCAAGCTTATACCTGACTTTTCAGTAAATTTTATATACGAACACAGAAACAAATTAAATTAAATTAAATTATTAATAATAATAAGGGTCCTAAAAAAATTCGTTCAAACAGGCACTATGTTTTCCTTTTCAAATTTTTTTCTTTTGTGTGAATTCTGTGTGTAAAGTGAGAGTCTTTTTCCTGGGTAAGTGGAACACAAGACTGCAACCTAGAGAGAGAGAGGGATACCATTCTGTGGAGTCCGAAAGCTTCTTTTCAGTCCTTTGAGAGAGAAATCACAAATTGCCGAAGTACAAACCTGACAACCTTCAAACAAAAAACACACAAGCCTTTCTTGAGATGCCTTAATCAGTAAACCCTAAAACCCAATAAACCCTAAAACCTAATAAACCCTGGAACAACAAATATATAGACTTGCACATGTATGGAATGCATGAAAAATAAATGATAGGATCAAATAAATCAAAGAATACTTGTCTGATATACAATTTCAACATTTTTAAAGCATAAAGAAAAAATGAGAACAAAATTAATATATACATATATAATTATATATATATACATACATACATACATATGTGTTTGTGCGTATATAGAGAGGGCGAGAGTGCGAGCTTACCGTAGTGAAGTTTCAATGGGTATGCAAAAAGAGGAGCAGAGAAGTGTGCCCTGCGTTCTGTCTCTCTTCTCGGTTCACTTTGTTACGCAGACACGAACTGTGCGTATATATATGGTGGTCTTGTGTACGTTCGTGAGGAACTTCCTTTTCGGAGAAGCAGAAGTTTGGTGGGCCTTTGGATGGATAACTTATGGGCCTATGGAGCAATTTTGTGGAATGAAAGAATCAGAGAGAAAGGCCCATTTCCCCCCTTTCCTTTCCTTTCCCTTCCCTCTCTCCTCTTTGTTCACATTGTATGCGATGTGATTATGTGAACAGTTTTTGTGGAATGAATGAACAAAGGCCCACTTCCCCCTCTCTCCCTTTTCTGTCCATTCCTCTTTGTTCATACCATATGATTTAGGGCATGTATCGTTCAGTTCTTTAAAAATAATTTTTAATAATTAAAAATATTATAATTTTTTTTTCTGAAAATATATCATTTTTAATTCAAATTTTTTAAAACAATTTTTCAAAACTATCAACCACCATTTTTTTTTTTTTTTTTCAACTTTATAAACTATTACCAGAAAACTTAACCAAATAAGTCCTTCCTTTCTTTTCTTTTTCTCTCTTGACAAAAGGAGTTAGATTGTTAATACATTTTGTAGTTTTTTTCAAATTCTAGGTTGGCCTTTTCAAAATTGTCCATACATGAGAGAGAATATAACAAAAATGGTAGACTGTTTGACAAACATTGACCTGATTCAAGCAACCTTTTTATTCCCATAGAACTTGAACAATCAATTTTTTTACTTTGAAAGATAAAAATAACATACCACTCTATTAAAAATTACAATAAAATTCAAAGGCTTTAACAATATACAATATTTTTTTCTCAAACCTTTGTATTACCTTATTGACTCTAGAGTCCAGAGTCTAGACGGAGTTACTAATTTCATAAGATATTGGACCTGATGAGACACTAATACTATTATTTTGTTTCACCAATATGACATGGTGAGTTTATAATTCCTTAATTTTGTTTTAAAAAATAGTATTATTTATGACAAATTATTTATTATAATTGTTGCAATTATAATATGGTGTAACGAACCGTTATAAATACTTTACCAAAATAAAGTGAATCTACAATAGAATCAAAAAATTGATATATGTGTTTTGATGAAGTGTTTATAACCGATCATTACATCATGCTATCATTACAATAGACCTAATGAATAATTTTTCGTTATTTAGGGAGTTCCCTCGTGACAAGAGTCACGAGTTCTCCACACTCAACTCCTGGATTGAGATAATTTTTTGAAGTATATGAAAAATAAATTATTTAATACATCTTTTAATTTAGTAAATATAAAAATTTACAACTAATTACTCAATAAATAATATTACTATTTATAAAATAAATGAACCTGAGACACCACGATCATCACCGGATTCATGTTTGCAGTATCTTTGGGCCTTCTTCCCCCACAATGTTTGTTTTGCAGTAACTGCTAATCATATTAAAAAGAAAAGAAAAAAAAAAATAGTAAAACAAAGAAGAAGAAGATATTTCTAACATGAAAAGGTGTTGGATGTATGCATAGGCGACAAATAAAATTAGATTCGTGTGATTGAGCAAATATTCAAACTCTCCTTTTTAACTATATACAGTACTTCATTTTAAAACTGAAATGACGTTATTGTTTTTATTCGTAAATAGAAAAATTAATTATTAATGGTATATTTGTCATTTACATTAAGAAAAATAAAAGAGAAGAAGTGTATTTATCTTGACCCTTTATTTAGTTGACGTTATCCTTTTACCGCGGCCAAAATTATATTCCTTTTGCCCAAAAAAAAAATGTCATGTTCTTCTTTTTGGTCTGTCCCAAAATAATGGTCATTTTTCTTTTTCAACCAATATATTTTACATCTTTCCACGTACATTCTTGGAGTTTAAAATTTCAAATATAAATATTTAAAATTCAAATTGACAAATTAGTAACTTTTCAGGGAGATAGGATATGTCCCACATGCTCCATTAAAATTTTTTACTCTCTAAAAATGATATTTAAATTGAGACAGAGAAAGTAATATGCTATTTCCGTCTGTAGTTGCAAAATTTCGCCCAACCAATAATGATTAGGAGAAATAACACAACTCACTCAATAAACAACAAGAACAGTATCTAAAGAAGCGTATAATTGCTTGATCCTTTTATTAGAGGTCTGTGCCTCTATTTATACACAAAAGATTAGTTGAATTATGGTAGGACTCGCATTACTTGTCCTCCAATTCTTTCCCTACAGAAATTCTTTACAAATAGAGCTCCTCCTTTGTATAATTTTCCTTGTGTAGTAGTTTCTTTCTTTGTTGTATCCTTCTTCTAATAGGACTAATTTCCTTTTAATGGATTTGGGCTAGAAGTAACCTGATCCATGTGACATTGCTAATGGGCTGGATCTCTTGTTTCGGGCTTGAGCAATGCTACAAAGATCTATTATCTGCGACCTTGGGTTAGTGTCTTATGATTTTGGGCTATCAACGAGCTTGGACTGGGCTTTGAGAAGGATGTGCCTCTGACATTTGTGATGGGTATTTACATTGCGATGACGTGTACGGTTCTCATTGGAGGGAGATTTTTCCCTTCACACTTTGCCCCCAATTCCCTCTTTAATTGGATTGCGGCTCCTATTAAAAAAGGAATTGAAGTTGCACGATTGTCTATTTTACAAAAAGACGGTTCGAAGATTACCCATTGCCATTCTGCCTTAAGAGATTCCATAAGGGTTACTTTTGCTCTCACTACGTTTCTTGCGTTCTTCATTCCATCGTCTTATCAGGTTAGTTCTTCATCTTTTTCTCTTCGATCTCGCATTATGAGTACTTCGACTACTCCTGAGCGTATAGAGATCGTAGATTCTGAGTCCACTCCCTCATCTTCCCCTAATCTTATTAGGGTTCCCCCACCTAGGGTTTCGAACTTCCCTAAACCTATAAATGACTTGGCTAATCAGCTGGGTGCTTCCCCGATCCAGGCTGAAACATCCACCTCTGGGTCGGACAATATCCTCACTAAGGAAGAAAGAAATGTAATTTTATCTATTCGTCGCATCCCGTTTTCCATTGAATCCGTAATGGAAGAATTCGAGATTCCCGAAGGGGTAAAAATTGCATAATATCCCAAAGGCGCTGATTTTTGCGCCGGCGAGGGCGTCGGAGAAGATGAGTTGCTCCTCTCTGTTGGGCACCTCAACGCTCTTAGGTTCCCCCTTCATCCTTTCTATCACTTAGTTTTCAACAAATTGGGGATTGCACCCCTACAAGTAAACCCTAACTTCCTTCGAGTAATCTCGGCACTCCTCATTCGTCGGGGGCAGGAGAGTCTTGACCTGACTCTGGCTGACTTGCTGATTACTTATTCTATTTCTAAGCATGGAACCGAACCTTGTCGTTTCTTTTTCACTTCCCCCTTGCACCAAAGGATATGTACAGACCTCCCTACTTCTGAGAAGAAGTGGAAAGAGAGGATGATAATTGTTAAATGGAGATGGGTCGTGCCCCAATCGAGCAAACTCCCAATCCCTCGTAAGTTCGGGAAGTTAGGTATAGAACATTCCCCCTTTCTTCATGAAGATTGTTCTGGCTGTTTCCCATGTCGAGTCTTATTCTTTCGATATATTTACGAGTTCTTAGTGTTTTTTCAGCGACATTTCCTTCTTCGGCTGCCAAGAAGAGGCTTTCCTTCCTGGAAAGGCAGGTTTGGAGCGACCCTCCCTCGGTCGAGAGCTTACTCACTTCTGCGAGTCTTAAAGCAGTTGTTTCCAGAGCTGTAACCGCTGATCTCATGGACTTCTCACTTCCATCATTTGACAGCTTCCCCATGACTGAGGAAGAAAAACAGAGGGCTGAAGCCTTGAAGAGGAAAGTTGCAGAGAATGCTCCGCTGACTATATTACGTACAAATGAGCAGGAGAAGGAGATTGACGAAGTCCCTTTGAACAAAAGGGCAAGGCTGAACCCCTCTTCAACCGCGAAACCCAAGGGTGCTTCCAACCCAAAAAGCAAAGGGAAGAAAACCGAGGAGATTAACCTTGAGGATGAGGTCAGTGCCTACGTCCTTGCCGAGGCTGGGGCACCTTGGACTCTTTCCTTCTCGAGGGCTGACAAGTCCATTCTCCATATTGGTGATTCTATGATCACTGACCCATCTGCAGCACTGGCCGTCGCTCGGGGAATGTGGCTCCCCAAAGATAAAGAAATTATCGGCAGAATGGGGTTGGAATAGCTACTCCTATCTGCCCCTGTTCGAGCCATAGAGGTTTGCTCCTTCCTTCATTTCCATTGTCATACTTGTCTTGCAAACTTTCTTACATTGTTATTATCTCATGACGCAGGGCTTGTATCATACTATGGCCCTCTGTGCTACTGCTGAGGCCCAGTCTCTTTCTCTTAAGAAGTTGGAGAAAGACCTCAGTAATTCTGAGAAGAAGGCATCCCATGCCATTGCCAATGCACAAATTACATACGAGGCTTGGGATGTTTACAAGAAGCATCTGGCTACTTCTGATGCCAAAGTTGAGTCGCTAGAGGCTGAAGTCCAGCGCTTGAATGATGCCCTTAGCACCTGCATCGTTGCCGGGAGGCAAATGCAAGGTCGTTACTCCAATCTGGTGCGCTTGTCAAATGCAAAAGCTTACCGGTCCGGCTTCAATCAAGGCTCAGGCCCCAAATCGATGGATCCTGATGCCTTTGATGTGAACATGGGGGTGTCCTTCCCTTATACAGAGGGTCCGAAGGCTCAGGAAGCTGAGGTGCTTTTTGCTGAAATGGTGAAGGCTCACCCGGAAGATCCTCCAAGCTCATCAACTCCTGTAACTCTTGGTCCTTCAATTCCTCCACCTGCAAGTCCAGCTGCAGTAGATGCTTTCGAATCTGCCCCGTTTGATCCGAAGAGGAAGTAGGATCAAGCAAATATTTTTTTTTTTCCTTGTAATGAAACAATTTTGAGAATGAATGATATATCCATGTTTCTTAAGCTGTGTTTCTTTGCTTCGACTAAGTATGCTTCTGATATTGCACTCACTCTGTTGAGAGATTTTTTTTTTTATTTAAAAAAGGAAGGTACTCTGCCTGAAGGTTCCTTATTTGTTTTAGTCTGAAGCAAAATAAATAAGAGGTTTTCCAAGCCGAACACTTAGTGTCCAAAGCGAGGTTTTTGCCGAGCTGGACACTTAGGGTCCGAGGCAAGCTTTTTGTCGAGCCGGACACT